CCAGCCTCGTGTCCTACATCACACCCAGCCTACAGTGCCTAACACCACACCCAGCCTACAGTGCCCCTAACACCACACCCAGCCTACAGTGCCCTAACACCACACCCAGCCTACAGTGCCCCTAACATCACACCCAGCCTACAGTGCCCTAACATCACACCAGCCTACAGTGCCCCTAACATCACACCCAGCCTAGTGCCCCTAACATCACACAGCCTACAGGCTACGTGTCCCTACACCACCCAGCCTACAGTGCCTAACACCACACAGCCTACAGTGCCTAACACCACACAGCCTGGCCCTACATCACCAGCCTACAGTGCCCTAACATCACACAGCCTACAGTGCCTAACATCACAGCCTACAGTGCCCTAACACCACCCAGCCTACAGTGCCCCTAACACCACCCAGCCTACAGTGCCCTAACACCACACCCAGCCTACAGTGCCCCTAACACCACACCCAGCCTACAGTGCCCTAACACCACACAGCCTGTGCTACATCCAGCCACAGTGCTAACATCACCCAGCCCAGTGCCCCTAACACCCCAACCACAGTGCCTAACACCACACAGCCTACAGTGCCCCTAACACCACCCAGCCACAGTGCCCTAACATCACAGCCTACAGTGCCCCTAACATCACACCCAGCCTACAGTGCCCCTAACACCACACCCAGCCTACAGTGCCCCTAACATCACACCCAGCCTACAGTGCCCCTAACATCACACCCAGCCTACACACACACACAACACTCTCATAAAATAGTTGGTGTCTCTTCATCAGCTAAGTTGGGTCTGGCTCTGAACATGACCCCCAAAGCTTCAATTTAAGATAATGGATATATTTCTCTCCAATATCTTAAAGGCGTTCTTATAATAAAAAGATTTGAACAATGTACAGTCGCCTTCACTTATATCTTACACAGTGGCTGGAGCATTTTGTGAGATGTGGCAACTCTGTAGACTGCTTATCTAGCCTCCTTAGTCTGGTTACCATTACGGAGTTCCTTATGGCCATTCTGGGAGTTTTAATACGATGTAAACAGACACAGAGTTGCCACATCTCACAAAATGCTCCAACCACTGTATAAGATATAACTGCAGGCGACTGTAAATCTTTACGTACATAATCTGATTCAGGAACAAATGTTTTGAATATACTTACTTTAGAATTGAAGACTAAAGGTTCAAGATGTTTTTTTAATGGGAAATTCAACTCGATATTGTGATTACTGATGCAAAGGAAACCAATTTGTGTGGTTTAATTATTTACAACTATGAAAGGAGTCAAGAAGCTTTTATACACCAAATCTCTTTGTTGACTCATAGGTTACTCGTATGTTAGGGCACAGTTAAAGGAGACTCCAGAGTCCTGCTTAATGGCCCAGGCCCCTTCTTAACGGTCCACTTGCCTTGTTAACGGTCCAGTCGCCTTGTTAACGGTCCAGTCTCCGTATTGTTGGTTCGTAGGATCGTGTCGCCTTGAACTAACTCCTTTGTAACAGATTAACAAATACAGTTGTATTATTATTATTATTATTATTATTATTATTATTATTATTATTATTATTATTATTATTATTATTTATTATTATTATTATTATTATTATTACTATTATTATTATTATTATTATTATTATTATTATTATTATTATTTATTATTATTATTTATTATTATTATTATTATTATTATTATTATTATTATTATTATTATTATTATTATTATTATTATTATTATTATTATTATTAATATCATTATTATTATTATTATTATTATTATTATTATTATTATTATTATTATTATTATTATTATTATTATTATTATTATTATTGTATACTCTCACTGTTGTATAATCAAGTTAGTGAGAACACAGATCTCTTCCCCTCTCTCATTGTGGACGGTGTGAGGTGGGCGACCTGCCAGGCCCCGGGGATATATAACAGTCAGTCTGGCGCCAACCATAACTCACCCTTGGTCGCTGCCTTCCTGTCCGCACTGACTGTCTGGCAAAATTCACACGTATGCGGGCATGGATCCACTAAAATCCTTTGTAGAATACGAGGCCCTTGAGAACACTTAAGACTTAACCACACCATCATTGTATATCATCTATGGTGGCTAAGAGGCATATGACCAATCATAGATAAGGGTTCATGTCGTTCTTGAGAAAACGACCAATCAGGAGTAGGAATGGAAAATCAGCTGATACATGTAAACAAATGGGAGAATAGGTGGTTATTTATTCTCATCTTAAACTACATTGTATATGAGGGTGAATTCTGATTACTCTCAAGCTAGACCAAAGGGCGACCCACTTTACACACACACACACACACACACACACACACACAGTCACGGAAACACCAGATCAAAGTTCTTTACTGGGTGATAATGTACAAGAGGGCGGCGCCTTCACACAGCTCAGGGAAGACTTTCAACCCGGTAATTGCCAAGTGTTGTGATGGACCAGAGGTGAATCAGGAAGTGTTGGTACTGGTGAGAGAGAGAGAGAGAGAGAGAGAGAGAGAGAGAGAGAGAGAGTGACAAAAGGAAAACGGAGACAGCGAAAGAAGAAGATAAATAAAGGGAATAGAGATTGAAATAGAGAAACAAGAAAGGAAGAGTTCCAAATATTATCGAATTTTATGTAGGTATTAGCTGTGTGTGTGTGTGTGTGTGTGTGTGTGTGTGTGTGTGTGTCCGAAATGAAAGTGGGAAAGTAATGCAGTATTCCATCACGAAATTAATATCAAATCATAACTGAGATGAATGATAAACAGACTCTGTCACTTAGCAATGCAAATTCCAAAGTGGCACAACGCTTCTCGCTTCAACTTTGCCTGTACAATCAAACTTAAGATCTTGAAGGCGTAGTCACTCCCACTGTCCTCGCTGTTACACTCTGCTCAAAGATTCGTTTCGATAAAGAACGCCACTGTAGATAGAAGACGGGCGAACGTTCGTCTGGCGTAAATAAATAAGTTACTAAAGGTTTGAAAGGATCGTCAAGCGTTGATGATTTCTCGTACTGGCGTTGTTCTTGGTGGGAAAAATCTGCTATCATATCCAATATCATATAACTCTACGGGTTTATCCATCCATGTTTTACTTACTGTGTTACTGTACGCCGTGTCTAAAGCTCAGAACTCTTAACTCCCGGTGAATATTGAGAACCTTCACGTACCCTCACGCTTAATGATGTCACTCACTTAATAATGTCACTCATTGAATGACGTCACTCACTGAAAGACCTCACGCATCGAATGACATCACACACCGAAAGACATCACACAGTGAATAACATCAGGAGCTGAATGACGTCACGCATCGAATGACATCACGCATTCAATGATATCCTACACAATAATTGATATCACATATACTGAATGATGTCACACAAACTGACAGACACTTCAGTCGCAGAAACACTCGACCCACGTGAACTCTACACTAGATTGACAGACATACAGGCTCCCAGGAGGTGTCCCTTCTTTGTGAGGGGAGGGGGCGTGTGGCTAACTCCCGCTAAGACTTAAGTTTATCGTTTAATGTGCTAATGATTATACCAGTCGACGGAATATGACTTATTTTCTCTACTAGTGATCGACAAGTGTTCCTTTAACATATTAGTGCTTTAGATGTATTCATTGTATATATAAGTTCTTGAAATGGGTCTTTTTATATATATTTTTTGTGCAAAGTTGTTTTATGAGTGGATAATCAAGGGGCACTATTATAATATTCTTCAAAAAAGTGTTATTTTTATAATTTCTTTCAAAATTCACACGAACCAGGCTCCCTCTCCCTCCCTCCCTCCCTCCCTTCCATCACAGGCCACGATGTTCACAGGCTTCTGGATCCTAATCTCCAGAAGAGCCCAGTGACGACACAGGATGAAACGGCTCTTTACCCCACTGAAATATAATGTGTTGGTCGAGAAGGAAGGGAGAGACAAGGAGGATGGGGTAAGAAAAGGAACTAGGGAGGAGGGAGAGATAAAGGATGGGTGCAAAGAGAAAGAGAGAGAGGGAGGGGGAGCTACAGTGGCCGAGTGGCTATACCACTCTCCTCTTCACCTAATGGCCACTGGTTCGAATATAGTGGCCTCAAGTCTACTCAGTGAAGTGAGAGGTGGTAATGTGTCCGTGTGCATATCTAAGTGTTTGTCCTCATTGCGTGGTGGTAATCCTCATGAGCCATCAGACATACCATTAGACATATAGGATCCAATTTAGCTTATTCAGTTTCGAACCGGTTTAGTCATATTCTGTGGTAGATAAAGTGAGTCAGTTAGCCAAGTTATCACCTTACCAGTTAGGAGGAAATTGTCAGCGTCTCAGCCAATCACAACCGTCAGAGTTTGTACCATTTATATCATTATAATCTTATTTCCTGTTTTTGTTCTTCTTCTTGTTCTTGTTCTTGTTCTTGTTCTTGTTCTTCTTTTTAAAGTTTATTATCAAGGAATTCCGTCGATAATACCTGCCTTCATCTCCTCCCCCTCCTCGTCCCTCTTCCTCCTCCCCCTCTTCCTCCTCCTACCCCCCCCCTCCTCCTCCTCCTCCCCCCTCCCCCGTGCTCCGTTACCTTGACAACCAATCAGATATGAAGATTAGATTCCGGAGGTGACGGACCTCTACCGCTTGTGCTGTTTTTGTGGTAGAGAGGATAGGGAGGGGGATGGGGAGGGGGTGATGGGGAGGTGGAGTGATGGGGAGGGGAGGTGGGGGGGAGGGTGGATGGGGAGGAGTGGATGGGGAGAGGAGGTGATGGGGAGGGGGAGGGGGGGTGATGGGGAGGGGGTGATGGGGAGGGGTGATGGGAGGGGTGATGGGAGGGAGTGATGGGGGGAGTAGTATGATGGGGAGGGAGTGATGGGAGGGGGTGGGAGGGTGGGGGAGGAAGTGATGGGAGGGGGTGATAGGAGGATAGATCTATATCTATCTATCTTATCTATCTACCAGCACCAACTAACTGACCTCCCTCCTTGTGTTGCAGACATGGCGGGCGGTACCATACTCGGCCTTGGAGGACGAGGGTGCCGGGAGCACTGGAGATGGAGAGGAAGGTCGCAAGGGGCGCCAGCAGAACACCACCGCCCTGGCCGCCCGTAGCCACCTCAGGGGACACCAGCGGTACTCCCTCTAGAGCACCTTCTGATATTGGTAGGTCAGTGTGTGTGTGTGTGTGTGTGTGTGTGTGTGTGTGTGTGTGTGTGTGTGTGTGTGTGTGTGTGATTTGATATCGAGGTTAGGTTAGGTTTGGTTAGGTTAGGTTAGGTTAGGTTCCTTGAAGTGTAGGGGTAATTATGTCAAGTATTGAGAAGGATGTTGGAGGAGAGTAGAGGAGGAGATGGAGTGGAGTGAGGGAGGGAGAGGAGAGGGAGAGAGAGGGAGGGAGAGGGGAGGGAGAGAGAGGGAGAGAGAGGGAGAGAGAGGGAGTGGGAAGGTGAGAGGGAGAAAGAGAGTGGGGTAACATTGTCATTGTGAAGGAGACACTTAATTAAGATTACCTCAAGACTTTTGTTTCTGCTCTAATTAAGACTGTCTCAATGGGTCTTATTTTCCCCACAAATTTAATTGTAAGAAAAACAAATATATTCTTTACGTTAATCCAGACTGTTTTAACTGTGCTTTGGTGTTAATTAGACTGTGTCACATTACATCAAACTGTTTTGACTGTATTGTGACGTTAATTAGACCCACTTAATACCAGCACTTAGCACCAGCACTTAACAATAGCACTTAACACTTAACACCCTGATCTCTGCCTCACCTTCATCAGGATCCCGAATCGACAAGAACTGGTTCATGATCCGCGACTCCTCGGTGAAGACGGATCGCCTCATGACCCTACAGCCCTTCGACGAGCAGTGCCCCTTCCCCGTCACCCAGGGCACTAGGGAGGCCCTCGTCGAGCTCTTCCAGGTCAGTAGAGAGGCCCTTAGCTGTTAGGTCTACCAGGTCAGTCGTGGCCCTTAGCTGTTTGGTCTACCAGGTCAGTAGAGGCCCTTAGCTGTTTGGTCTACCAGGTCAGTACGGTGGCCCTTAGCTGTTAGGTCTTTCAGGTCCATAGGGAAGCCCTTAATTGTCCTGTTTATATACCTGGTGATTCTTACACCATGTAATTACCTCCATCTACCTGCAGGTTCAGGAATATATAAGTGTTTCGGATCACCTGATGATTAGATACCATAACCTAACACTAACCTAACCTAACACTAACCTAACCTAACCTAACACTAACCTAACACTAACCTAACACTAACCTAACCTAACCTAACACTAACCTAACCTAACCTAACCTAACCTAACACTAACCTAACCTAACCTAACTAACCTAACCTAACCTAACCTAACCTAACCTAACCTAACCTAACACTAACCTAACCTAACCTAACCTAACCTAACTAATCCCCCCAGGTAGTGTTACGATGTTTAAGACTAAGATGAATTAGGTTGGGGATGTCTAATCTTCAGGTAATCCCCCTTTTTTCCATTCAAGCTTGTGTTTGTATCTCATTAAGCTTAATAAAGAAGAAACCTTGGCTCAAAAACTCTCTAGTGCCTCGGGTGTCCCTCGGGCGTCTCTTTCTTAACTAATGAAAAGAACTTTATTCATTCTTTCTTTCTTTTCGTTCACTACTAATTTATTCATTTTATTAATTAAGATAAAGGCACAGGTGAGAGTGAGATATACAAGTACAGGTAGAGATATCAGGACAGGTGAGAGGCAGAGGCAGATTGGTAAGAGTACAGTATTCAGGCTTCAGTGTATATTATTTCTGTGTTACATCATCGTGTACAACGTAAATGGTCGATATGGTAGAATTATATATATCTACTTATGTTCACGTCTACAGTGGACATTAAATTGATCGTATTGAAGAAGTTTATTCATTATTGAGGATTTGTTAAGTAAGTTGTAGAAATATTTGGTTTTCAGTGTGACGTAAGATTCCATTATTTGTTTTCTCTCTCTCTCTCTCTCTCTTAAACCACTTCCCTTAACAAATATCACCCTTAACAACTCCCTTCATCCATTAATCTCTCTGAATATTATACCCCCACCACCCTTTGCCACCTCTCCCTTCGCATCTACCCCCATTAACTCCCCTTTATTATCTACCCCTTACAGGCACTCCACCACCCTTTGCCACCTCTCCCTTCGCATCTACCCCCATTAACTCCCCTTTATTATCTACCCCTTACAGGCACTCCACCACCCCTACATCTACCCAGTGTTGGATGTAGACTTCGCCAACATCTCTTCTCACACATATGTCATCACTGTCATCCCACACAACGCTAAGGGCACTCTCAAGGACCTGATCTATAGGGTAAGTGAACCTGAAGGGAGGGGAGGAAGGGGAGTGTGATAGGGAAGGTGGAGTATGGAAGGAAGGGAAGAGGGAAGAAGGAAAAGGGAGAGGAAAGGAAGTTACGTCGTCATTGTTACCTCCCTTCCCAGTCTCCCTTCACGAGAATGAGGGTACTGGGAAAGGAAAGGAAAGGAAAGGAAAGAGGGAGGTAAAGAAGAAAATTAAGATGAGAATCACAAAGAAGAAAAGGGAGAGACGTCAAAGAAATATAGAGAACAAATGAAGGAGGCAGTGCACATCACCCCACCACACACACACTCCCTCCATCACGTCTGCTGGTGGAGAGAGAATTAACATGGGAGGAGCTGGAACTAACTTTGTGTAACTTAGTTAATTCAAAGAAGAAAAAAAATGAGACATGGTCCATTGTGTTAATAGCTTGTGTGTGTGTGTGTGTGTGTGTGGTGTGTGTGTGTGTTAGGTAAGCAGTGATGAGTTAAGTACAAGCGTTCTAACCCCATTACAACAAAACATTTTTATAATAACCTTACCAGCCAAATCTTCCTCCTGAGAAATTACCGTAAAATATGTCTTTTTTTTTAATGATGTTTCCTCTTATGTTTCTGTGCCGTAAGATATACCTTGAGGCTCATAGGACAAGTGGCGTCGTAATTGAAGAGTCGGGACCACCATAATTGTAAAGGTTCAAGTATACTATAATTAAGCCACCAAATGTAAGATACTTTTTAGAGGTTTATATGTGAAGTGTCTCTGGCATTTTTTACTTATCAGATGTTATTTTACTTTATTGTTGTTTATAAATATGTTGATTTTACTTTATACCTGTAGTGAAAGATTAGCTAAGAGAGTATACCAGAGATTTAGTGTATATGTGACTTAATTAACCACACATCTGGCTCTAACCCTGACCTTTGACCTCTCCCTCTCGTGTTTCAGAGCCACTGGCAGGACGACTGGAGTGAGAAATACCAACAGAGATCAGCTGGACTGCCAGTGTCACAGGTACAGCGACTGGGGCGACAGGTGCTAGAAGCTCTCCTCTTTCTTCAGGACCGAGGCTTTCCCCCCTGCGGTCACTTACACTCAGGCAACGTCATGCTTCAGAACGGCGTCGCCAGGTACGTTCCTTTACTGTGCTATTTTAAATGAACGTTAAGTAATAGTATATGTGTGTGTGTTAAGTTTCAGGTCTATAATTGCCTTCGTTTTTTGGAGCTATGGGTGGAACAGACACTCATACACAACTAAACAAACACTTCCTTTTATTAAATGTAGAGATATATCTAACCCGAGAGAAACGTAAACAGACAGACAGACGGAAACAGTGACAACCAAAACAGACACACAAACGAAAAGAGACAGACACAGACAAACGGAAACAAGACAGACAGACGAAGAAGAAAGGCCCATCAAGAGACAGGAAGTGAAGCCCAGGAGAAGCAGGTCAACAGATCTGAGTCGCCGAGTGTGTGGGATTGAGGCGGGGGAAGAGGCTCTAGTAGATCTGTTGGTTCTAGGAAGGCTCTATTTATGGGGATGTGGTTGTATTAAGAAGCAGAAGATAGGAAATGAAAGGTAAGAGTTCATAAAATACTGTAGTCCACGCAGAGTGTATGGGAAGGTCTAGGCCCTAGATAAACAAATTGTGTTTTTTGAACAGACAGAAAATTCGAAGACAAACACAGGCAGATAAACGAGACACAGGAAAAATGATGAGATGACAGACACAGGCAGATAATTATGACGGACATGCATAGGAAAAAAAAAAAAGTATGAATGACAGACACACGCACACACAAGCAGAGAATTCGAAGTCACACACGGGAAAACAAATTTAGATGACAGACAGCGAGACAAGTAGGAAAAGAAAAATAAACAACAGGATGACACACAAAAAGGAAGAGAATCAGACAGACTCCCTCACCTGTCCAACACACCTGAGATTAACTTCCTTCTTGTTGACAGATTATCCGGGGTGGAGAACACGCTGCTGGGCCTCACCTCCAGGATCTACCCCATCATCAAGCGGCGTCTCAGAGATAACAGGGATGCCATCGATTCCGTATGCTTCGGTAAGTCCTCCATCACTTTATGCCTAATTCCTCTCATAGGTCTAGACTCGAGTAAAGACAATTTCTCGCTATATCACTGACATTAATGTGTGATTTGTAGTGTGTGCTCAATTCCCCTTACTTCCATTGAAATATAGTGTGTAATAAACTGATATAGTATAAAAGTTACTCAGTGTAAAGCATTTTTTATTCACCAAAGATATGTGAAATAGACAGTAATATCTCCATAAGCCGGAATCCCTCAAACCCGGAACTCTCCGACAGCCGGAATTGAAATTTTCTCGGAAAATTTTTCTCAAAGCTGGAATTTTCAAGAAAATTCCGGCCTTGGGAACATATTTTCCAAGAGGCACATTTTCCAGAAAATTCTAAGAAAATTTTCCTGATATCCGAAAAATTCCGGAAAATTCCATGGACGGGAGAGTTTTTTTCTGGGTTTGAGAGATGAAAATGAGGCACATTTTCTGGAAATTCTGAGAAAAATTTTCCGGTACCCAGAAAATTCCAGAGATGATGTAATGAATAATTTCCGGAACTTCCGAGAACATTTTTCAGTTACCCGGAAAATTCCGGTGGTGAGGGTTTTTTCCGGCTTTGAGAGAGTCGTCTCGTTACCCGGAAATCTCTCATCCCCGAAGTGCTCTGCACCAATTGTTCCGGCTAACAGAGATATCACTGTACTAATTAAGCTACTTTCATTAATGTACATTTTATGGAGTAAAGTGTGTTAACTGTATTTCCATTGAATTATGATGTGTGGAATAAATAAGTCATGTGTCCCTGTGTTACTGCACCCTCAGGTCACGTCATGTTTGAGATGTGTGCGGGGTACGAGCTGTCCTCTGCCCACCCTACTGCCAAGCACCTGGAAGACATCTCCACTTACCCACAGGTGAGTCACTGTTTGCTCCAGTCAACCCAGTCACCTGCTGTTAGCTCTTGGTCACATTACCTGGTATTAACCTGAGATTGTGTCGTCCAAGTGTTCTAATATCAGTATGCTGTGATAATACTTGCACCAGCTTATTTCACCTGGTAATTAACAACCTAATGGGGGGAATTAGTGTATGCATAATAGCTTAGGGGAAGGTTAGTATAAGTTAGTAATTTAATGGATCTTTATTAAAAAAAATCCATATCAGTGATTTAATAAAACTAATGGAGAAATTATAATTTTTTTTATGGATATATTTTTATAAAATTATGACTGGAGCTACTTTAAGACTATTAGGTTAAGTTAGGTTTGGTTCGAGTGACAAGATCATTTGGGTCTTAGGTTAGGTAGTTTTAATTGGTTAGTCTGCTACAATAACTCTCATTGAACATTAATTCTTATTTACCCCCAAGAAGATTTACATTCATTAAAACTGTTCTTTTTATTTTGCTTTATCCTCTTTGCCATTTGTTGTCCTGTTAGCCTCAGTTGGATGGTCTGTGTTTCTCTGTTGTGCACTGCTGTCAAGTACCATGTATGCACAGATTCTTGATTGTACTGTACTTGAACATTACCCAGTGCCAGTGGTAATCCATCTTGGACTTAACTCATTCATGGTGGTGTATTAATATTCATTGATACATTAATTGAAGCAGCTATTACCATATTTTTTTAAGCGGGTATAGTCTGTGCCAGCCTATGTTTGCTATTTTTGTTTCAGGTTAGAAAAGTTATGTACAGTATCTACAGAATATGAGAGTTGTTAGGTTTGTTCATATAATTAGGGATGAGAGGACAACAACAGAAATATTGTTGGGAAAAATTTAGGGTAGCAGGGGTAGGAGAAGGCAGAGACTGGGATGGATCAATGGCTTTATAAACTGGTAATACAGTAGTTAGGTTAGGTTAGCTTAGCTTGGTAATTATGAAACATCATATTAGTGAACATGGGCTGGCACCAACTAAGCAATACTCATGAGCAGTAGCACTAGACCACAGAAACCCACTGATGTACAAGGTGGCTCATAAGTCATGCACCATAGGAAAATTAATGTTCTCTTTTTTTGTGTTCTTGTGAGTAAATCATAACTAATCAATGAAGACAGCAAAGAGATTAACACTAGAGGAGTCACTTTAATAAACCTATATATGCTTCAGTGTTGTCAGTTGTCTGGCTTTCTGTACACTCTTTCTTCTAATGGTAATTTATTTTCCATCTTCAATGATTTGTTATGATGACTTATATAAGTGGCCTGTAAAGTATGAGCAGTTCTTTAGTAAACATCCAGAAATGAATCTCCATAAAAAGTAACCCTGAAGATGGTACAGTACAGTATGACTTACCTCACAGGTGGTACAAGTGTTGGAGTACATCTTCGGTAATGGTGACCAGTACCCAAGCGTTGAGGAGATCCTCTGCCTGGATTTCTTTCGGAACCTGGACCTGCGGGAGATGCGAGCTGCCCCCCTGCCGGTGTGTTCATTGTCCTGAAAACTAAACTTTTCCAATTCATTCTTAGATCAAATATCTTATGTTTTTAGTCTTTGTAATGATCCCAGATAAGTCTGGTGTTTCAGATACATTCTGTTATGTATAGATGTATTTGATATTATCATCGTCCTCATTTTTAGTTTTTTAATTAACAGATCCTCTCGTGTAAATAATTTTCTAATAACATATATACAGTACATAGATTGTTATGAATATGCATGTGATTTCTCAAGGGTAAATCCTCATTTGATTGTCTTGTGATATAGATGACTTAGAGTCACAGGTTAGAACATAGATTGTTATCATTTAATAAATCATCCTAATTTTTTCAGAAACAGTTTTGGCATCATTGACTATCAGACTGAGAATGTCAATATATGGTGGAGGAAAACTCTCAAGTCATAAAACAATACTGGGTTATTTGATTATGGGACACTGCACAAGCTTTTATATTGTGCTGTTATATACAAGGTCTTATAGACACTTGTATGATGTGCTAACCCATCTCAGATGCTCTTAAAGCTGTTTCTATGAGAATGATATAAAGGCCTTTACTAATAATGTAGAGTATAAACCACTTAGAGTTTTGTATATTAATTGTTTTATACTCTGCCTTATTGTCATAGATACAGTATACATATCATTATTGTGTCAGTGGAGTGATGATTGATGATGCCCATCAGTATACCATATCCCCTTTATCAGATTGCATTGTTTTTCTCTCCCATAAAATCAGTATATCTCTGCCCCCTCAAGATCTTTCCTTCCAGATCAATATTTCCCAACATCAAATTCAACATTTTCCCCCTTCAACATTAATATCTTCCCCCAAGTCAACACCTCCCTTACGATCATTATCTCCCACCCCTCAAGATCACTCTCTCCCGCACTTTCTTTAGATCAATACTGTGCCTGTCCCTGCAGAATGTGCATGTAAGATACATAAGTTTTTAAATCATAATAAGTAGAGTGATAGTAAATATTATGATCTTAATTAAGTTTTTCTAAACTAACTAAACCTCATCTCAGATGGTTGTCGACAGTTATGATGCTTGATGTTCACTGAACCTCAGAGCAAATTAAAATCTTTATTTACTGTAACTGTTAAAAGACAATACTTGGTAATTCCTCTCCTCCTTGTACCACATATCCTCCTCCTGTGTCCAAAATTCCTGTTCATTAGTTTTACTCCGTAATAGTTCTACTTGTGTGTTTATGTGTCATGTCAACAGTCTCCCTGTGTCCCAATCATCAGGCACTATCATGCTTCACTTCTCATTTTAACTTGTCTTTATGTTTTATAAAGTTTTTCAATCTTATCTTTTCTCAAAGCTCACAGTGGCTCTCATGGTAATGTCCTTTTCTAATTTATATAAACCTCTTATTCATTTCTAATAAGTTGCAATTATCCTTGAAGGCAAATTTTTTCATGACCAATACTTTTGATTGTGTAAGTTTTAAATTGGGTTTAAATTTGAACATTAATTTCAGTCATATACAGTATGCATAAGTTGCTATACAGTATTGTTAATTTTTATTATCAAAATACCTTTACCTGTCCTTCTTTACTTCCTCATCCACCCTCCTTTGATTAACACTGAGGTGAGTGTAAAAGTGTCTGTGTTTTCTTGTATTGATTAGCTATAGTAACTGATAAAGTATTTACCCTGTACATAGCTTAAGGATTTCTTTAATAGAAGCTGCTGACTGTAGAGCGTGAATTGTAACTTTACGTGTATCTAAAATGCTCTAATTTTAACTTGCGTAAGTAACTATTATATAATTTTACTACTTCTCAACACACAATATTGTTTTATAAATAAAATCTGTGAGTCATAGCCAGTCAGCTGTGAGGAGCTTGACGGTGACAGGTCTAGCTGTTACTTGTGCCCTCAACCATGAAATAGATTTGTTACTTTATTCCTTCATTTATTTTGAATAATTTTTTTAATGGAAGATATTTAACCTAAGAAAAAGTATCTGTGTCTGTTTATGCTGTCTACAACACTGAGATGAAATAAGTATCCAGTGACTGTTCTGAAGATGACAGAGAACATCTTGTTTTTTATAATTTCCATATCTTTGAAGGATGACTGAAATAAGGACTATGGCTCTACAGGTAGTCAGGCAAGACAGATTTAATCTTTTAGGCTAGTAAGGCTTTATGACAATGTTAGGAACACTGTTTTGGTACTAATGAAGGAACAACATTAGTTTTGAATATAAAATTGGTAGGATGGAGGTGGAAATATTGTAGTTATATGGAACAAGATTAAGTTTTGAGTGAAGAAAATTAAGGAACCAAGGAAATTTGCCTCTTAACCCCATTGACAATTCATGTTGTTGAAATAGCTCCTCTTCTTTACTTCTCACTACAGTAGCACATATATCACCCAATACCTTAATCTTACCCCTCCCCCCCCATTGCTAGCTGATAGATAAAAGTGCTGAAGATTGCCAGTTTTATCTTCAACTCTTCTTGTTTTTCATCCCATAACCCACTGTAAGTAGGGTAGCTCCTTGTTCAGAGTAGCATTCTGGAGTTCTTCATTCTGTATTCCCTCACAAACTGCTCCACTGTCTCGTGATGTATGTCTACACCTTTCTTCAGAACCAGTTAGTCTGTTTTCTCTTAAATATATGCAGTACTATACACTAACTTCACTTGTCTATTGTTATATTTCATGATATCACTGTTGAATTAGTTCATTTGCATCCCTGTCATGCTTCCTGTGTTTCAGACCATTTTGTCACCTGATGAACCTTTTTTTTTCCCTAATTCTTCTCAGTACTCCTAAAATGTACATTTATAAAAAATTCTTGTACTGTACACAGTTATTAGATACAGTATATATATATATATATATATATATATGTTTGAGGAATTGTACTAGTAGAAATAACTAATATATTCTTCTCTCCACAGTCACAGTTCCAGATAAGGTACTCACCAATGATACGGAATATTCTCAAAGAGGTCCGAAGATTCCAAAAACAAAGGAGGTGAGTGAGAGGATCTGGAATGCCATTTAATTCTCTCTTTTTTTTTCCATGGGGAGGGAAGGGGATGTGATTTTTCTATTGGTTCATGTATTGGAGCTGTGTTCCTATTTCCAATAAATCAACATGTTAGAGAACTTTTCTCATTTCCCCATCCATATAGTATACACTCCTCAAATTTGATGTAATTAGAAAAAAGTGGCAACTGTTTTCCTTGTGGCTGAGCAATATCTTTCAATCAGTGTGCAGCGCCGTACACGTTCGCTTAGTCGAGGGGACACACTAGACGGTGACGGTGGCTACTTCCGTCGTGATGCCAGGTAAACTGTGTCCCACACTGGTCATAATTAGTCACCGCGCCAGGTGTCTGTGTAGCCACTTCCACGTATTCCCATATTGTTGTCCAAGTAACATAGTGTCCAAAAGCTCAAAGGATGATAAAGTTTAAAAATGTAAATGGTTTTGTTTTCTAGGTTTATTAAGTACAGTAATGTACTGAAACTGAAAAATTTGCCTGAGTAGATTCACCATTTTTCAGTGAGTATAAATGTAGATTACTTATTAATAGTAAGAGTTTTATGCATACTGTGTGTCCCTTTACATTTACTTTACTGTAATCTCATCTTTTGATACTTGTTCAGCTTGGATGCCAACAAGCACAATATTACAGTCCTAATTACATCCTTATAACTACTCCCTTACAGGAGTTGAAACCAGTAGAGCTAGTAATGTATATCTTGTTAAAAAATGGATATAAGTATTCTTCTGGTCCTCAGCTTGTGGGAGGCCAGAGAGCCAAGCGTCGCCTCAGCTCACCTTATCCTTAGGCAGAAATGACCTATCCTGGCTTAAGTCAGAGTCTAGGACTCTTGCCGATGGGGAATTGTTTCTGGCCCCAAAGAAATCTTCAAATCCCTTATATTCATCAGCAGATAACACAAATGGGTGTTCCACAGGCCTTTGGGGATAAGTAACTTATGCTGCTCATAGGTAGCTTATCTTAGTATTTTGAATCTTTTTAGTGAATGCTTGGATTTCAAGTTTTTGAGGATTTACATCTAGTATATACTGTAGACTACAGTAGTGAGATTCAACAAGATGTCTATAAATAGATGTTTTAGAAGTAAAATGAACATATTGTCATAGTGGATTAAGTTTTCTGTTAGGTATGTGTCATTCCAATTTGTATTCATATACTGTATCGCCATACAATTGGCATGCTGTAGTCGCATATGGGTCATTCCAATGATACACACTCTGGCCTCAGTATATTCACAGTTCACCTGTAATTTGTTAGGAGTAAGTACTCAAAATACGGTACTACAGTGTAGTACTGTATATCAGATAATTACCTTTTATTGTTTTCCGAATAAATGACTCCGTGAACATGTTTGTTGCCATCAAACTGTGTGAAATGATATGAAGGCATTGTTGAAATGAGAAAGAAAAGTTATATTGAGTAAGGAAGACTAGTGAGCAGACATCAGGTGTATGGTAGAAGCAAATGAAGATGTAGGTCATGTCTAATAAGATGGCTGGTAAAGTTATTATTTACTTTGTTGACAGGATAAATTTATGAGCATAATTAGGACGAATGTGTGCATGTGTGTGACAAAGAGAGAGAGAGAGAGATAGTTGAAATGTATGAAGGAAAATGTTTATGGGGCTTAATAAGACTCGAGACAGTGTAAAAGGTGACATTGTAAATATCAGTTTGACCTACATGCTTCTTTTTATATATTTATACATAGTTTGAATTGGGTGTTGTTGATGTTGTTGTTGTTATTTTTATAGTTTTATAGGCAATATATATTGTTAACACTAGATCAATGTTTAGAAAGGAAAATAGATTCATGTAGACAAAAATTATTAGTCACTCACTGGAATGCACATGCATGTCTGTGCTTAACCACAATATCTCCCACTATATCACATGTGGCCTTACTGCACTATTGGTAGCTCACACAATAAAGGATAACAAGGAAGTGTAAATACATCTCATTACTCAGGCAAGAACTGTGAGTTATTTTTGTATTTTTATGTGAAAAAACCCCCTGTATACTTCTTTTTCTAATCCCGTTAGTAATGTCATGTATTCCCAAACTGCAATATGCAACCTAGTTAAATCCTGCAACTAGACAGGATTGCAGAGGCATTATATTAGTATTAAACAAAGTGATCACTGCTGGTAACATGTGTCAGGTCCCAGTTATTGTCATTTCATCTTTTATTATGGAGAGAGTAACGTACCTGGAAGAAAGAAGATTAATTTAGCCCATTGCCTTGTTATTAGGAGGGACCAGTTCTTCATTTACCAGAACTCAGAGCATTTTATTAATATCTGAGAGATTTAATTTGCATGTTAAGGAATTTGTCTCATGTTAAGGTGAAGGGTGTTTTGATAAATATTGAAGGGATACAGCATAATTAAAAAGAGTATGATACTCAAACTAACCAAAGGGCCGATAAGATACCAGAAGATAAAACACTCACAGGCCAAGATAGAGATAAAGCTGCCATTAATTTTGCTCAAACTCAGTAAATAAATTGAGTACCCACTTCTTTTCTTATCTGAGATAATTTTGAGATATTTGGGTTGGGTTAGGTTAGGTTGAGTTGGATTGGGTTAGGTTAGGTTGGGTTGGGTTGACTTCGAAAGTGAATCTAAGAAGAATGTGGATTGGTCAGATAAATAAGCAAGATATAAATCTTACATAATAATCCTAAAATAAAGGATTTTTTTATTCTGTACAAAAATATACACTGTGACTTCTCTTTGTAACTTATGATTTTACCATGTGCCTTATGCTGTACATATTTTACAATCCCTTGACATAACGATTATTAATTCAACATTTATTGGTCTTTTCTCGTAAGTTTCATCTCGCAGTTTTGTCATTGAAATGTTTACAGTAAATCTTAGAAATATAATTTGTTTGATAAAAGTTAATACAGTGATATCCTCGTTAGCCGGGACAATTGGTCCAGAGCACTTCCGGGAATGAGAGATTTCCGGGCAACGAGACGACTCTCTCAAAGCCGGAAAAAAATTCCTCATCACTGGAATTTTCTGTAACTTTTCGGGCAAATGGAAAAATGTTCTCGGAAGTTCCAGAAATTGCTCATTACATCATCTCTTGTACCCGGAAAATGCGCCTGATTTTCATCTCTCAAAACCTGAAAAACTCCCCATCCCCGGAATTTTCCAGGTACAGTGACCCTCGTTTAACGAACACCTCGGTTAACGTAATTTCGATTAACGAACTGCCTTCCATAAGGATCTTCAATTCGGTTAACGAAAAAAAATTCGCTTAACGAACTTCTTACGAACCGACCTCAACATGTTTTCGCTTGCACTGACCGGGCAACCAGCTTTAGTATCAGTCCGCCAATACATTAATCGGTTCTAGGGCTTAAATTCCTTACTATTTTTGTAAATATCAAGAAGTTTATACTATTCAATAATTTTAAAAGTTTAATATTCAATTTTTTAGTCATTTTAACAATTATTGAACGAAATTGAAGGTAAAGTGACTAGTTTAATGCGCGGCATCCAGCCTCTTAACACAGCAAACAGGCGTCAGTCTCTCTCTGTTTTCACTGGAGGTAACATCTTGCTTGAGACTCTCTTCAACTAAATGCTTTTTGTCTGTGTTTCCAAGCAAATTATTGGTCATTTTGAAATATATTTTATATATTGACAATATATAATGCAGTGCAGCATTGATTTAAAGAAAATAATCTTGAATTAAACCAGAGAGCTAAAATTTTATGGATGAAATGGCACCATGGGGTGACTTCTCTTCCACCCCAATGCCTTCTCTTCTTCCTTCTCCTCCACCCCCATTCTAAATCCCATCATCATCATCATCATCCAGGAGCCTTCTACATACACACCTCAAAGTAAGTGAACTTTTCTACCATTTTTGTTGAATTTAGGAAATTTTCGGTGAGCTGGAACCAATTACCCAAAAACCCATTGAAACAATGGTTTCGGTTAACGAACGTTTCGGTTAACGAACGACCTTCTGGAACGGATTGAGTTCGTTAACCGAGGGCCACTGTATCGGGAAAATTTTCTTGGAATTTTCCGGAAAATCAATTCCATAGCAGGAATTTTCCGGAAAATTCCGGCTTTGGGAATGATTATTCGAGAAAATTTTAATTCCGGCTGTCGGAGAGTTCTGGGTGTGAGGGATTCCGGCTAACAGAGATATTACTATACAGTATCATGGAAACTGTAAGAAGAAAGCAGGTCTACATTGTTTATAGTGCTCTCTGCTTTTTTCTCTCATTCTTGAATGTTTTTTCTCTTGCTATGACAGAGTGAGGGCAGAATCGGCCATTTCATAGAATCTTCTGTCAGTCACTCTTCCATAACTGTTTGTCTTGATAGATACTTTCAGTAGTGCTCTTTAGAGCACTACTTAACTTGGGAAACAACTGATTATCTACCTAATTTGCTTAATGACCACCCACTAGAGGTCACCATGCCTTGGGAATGAGGCCAGTGGTTGTATAGGATCTCTCCACTGTTATTGAAAATTTTGTCCTGGGTTATTTTGAAGCCCAGTACTGTTCTTGATTCCATTGTGATTTTACACTGGATGTTTATTAATTGATAAGAGAAATCACTGGCAGCATTCACTGATTTACAAAATAGTGAAATGTAATGACAGGCAAAGAGTCATCCCTCTACTAATATATCTCGGTAAGAACATCAGATGGGCTCTGTATCTTAGTCTCAATATAGTACAGTACTTTGTCCTTATTATTGAGTTCACTTTATATATGTATATTTTCTTATTTAAAATATCTAAATTCTTTTCCCCACCACAGATCATATAAAGAAAATTAAGTTTACAGTCTTAATGTTAAATGTCGTACAAGTTGTCAGAACCAAAACTCGTCGTGTATTAAGCTTGATCAAGAAAGGTGAATATTTTTGTAGTTTTTAACTTGGAAAAAGCTTTAAGCATTCGAGTATTAAGCTTGATCAAGAAAGGTGAATATTTTTGTAGTTTTTAACTTAGAAAAAGCTTTAAGCATTCATGCCTTCCAGAATGTAGCCGTTTTGCAATAGCTGTTAATTATCTCGGACTCATTACACCAGCATTTCACTTGACCAAAGTTCTGAGTATTTTATGTTGCAGTATTTAATGTTGTTTTCTCTACAAGTAGCCCATTCCAGTCTGTCTTAAGTCATTTATATTCCAATCAACAATCAAAACTTCGTTATTCACCTGTAATATTTTCAAATAGTTATACCATTAACATCATCAAATATTAACAAATCTTACGTTGTTCACTATGTAAGAGTTTAACGTACTGTATAAATGACTAGTTTAGTTTTTGTTATCTTAGTCCTGTATAATGTAAGTGAAATTATGTAAAATATAGGTTGTTATGGGTTACTGTAGATCATAAGTGAAAGATTTGTATGACATTGCTGTATCAAGAGATTATTGTTAACAAACTTCCTATCATTTAAATTTTAGTTCATGTGATCAATTTGAAGAGAGACTGGTTGGCTGAGTCAGGCTTAATTGATGACCAAGACTTCTACTTCTTAGTTATATCATCTTTTTGAAGTGTAACTCTGGAATATTTGCACAGCTTTTGCAAAGTAATTTTATGCTGTTATGGGTAAATGGCTTTTCAGTAGTAGCGCAGACTGATAAATTATGTTTTATGACTAAAATATAATCATGAATTGATCCATGAGTTCCAGACTGGTAAAACATCACTTGGCTAAATTCATCTTTTGTCAGAGGGTTTGACATGTTTAACAGCCAGAAACATTTCCCATGATGGACAGACTTGATAATGTTTGTGCTGTATGCAACATATCCACTCAGTTTTTTTAAGAGTACAGAACATAAGTTTAGAGGTCTTCCATTTCTTGTAATATATGAAAGGAATAATTATGATACAGGTATTAAATCATTTCTACAACAAGGTAGGAGATCTGCAATTAAATGATGTTTCATGAATTATTTTGAGAAGAGTCATAACTATAGGAGTTAAAAGACTATCTTCTTACATAAAAATTATTAATTTGAGGTTACTTCAGAATCTCTTGCTTCATAGACACTGTTGCCTCATACAGCATAAATGATGAGTGAATGAAAGAAACTGTGGTTTCTTACAAAGGATAAGAACTGATTAATATAGTTCCCTCCTTGTTGACATTAGAAATTGACAGAAAGTGAAAGGACTGGCATATAAATCCCTTTACATGACAAAGCAGTTTCACACAAGTTACTGAAAAGCTCCCCTCCCTTTCCCAACTAGAAGCCTCACTGAACTTTGAGTCAATCACCACGTGGAACAGGATCAAATTTGTCTTTGACCCATTGTCCAGTGAATGAGTGAGACGTGCTGCTTGTAGCAAAAGCATTTCTGGTCTTGTCTGTCTGGATTATGAATACTACCACTAAATATTCCCCATCCTCCGGCAAAGGGCAGATTCTGTCGGAGGGTATAGTAACTATTTGGATCTCACTGGTCACTTGTTTTTCTTCTTTGGTCTTAAAATGGGATTTCACACTTTAATCTTTTCTAATCATTAACAATTTTATGCTCTCGTCTAATTTTTATTTACCTTAAACAAAATAACAAAACTATTGTACAATACGTATCTCAAAAAAGTATCTGCCAGGATGGGTCCAATGACTTCCGAAATGTTACATGCAACGTGTGATGTCCCGGGAGGGTTGGTATGCATGGCTTTATGGCATACTGATCCTGCTACAGTTGGTAACAAACATCATACAGTAATATAATTATGCCAAAAGAATTACACATTACATTACTTATGTTAAACTATACAGGGCAAAAATGCCCATACCCCAATATCTATCATCTGTGGTCTCATAATGTTTCACACAGAGTGTGGACAGATACATTTTGGAGATACAGATACTGTACATATACAATACATTATATTGAATTATCAAAAGTTTTCATTAAGTTATATTTATAAATCATATTTAAACTTTCCATAAAGGTCTTCATCTTCACTATACAGTATATATAACTTCTTAACATCTAGTTGGTGAAAAAATTGAAAATCATTCTATATATTAATACTGTAATTGTAAACATATGAAAACCAAAAATGTTCCCAGTATTAATAAATGTTAGTTGTTGTCCTTTACCATCCAAGGTTTTGTAATCTTCCCCCACTAAATTATAGAAATAATTTAAAATGTACAGTACAGTATAATTATGATCTGGTGCAGAAATTAACACCATTGAAGTACCTGACCTAACCCCAGTTACAACCACCCTTTTCCCTGGCACCTGTCGATTCAGCTGACTTTTACTGTGTACCCCTTATAGATATGAAGTTGAGGGTGACCCAGAAGGAGATTGGCCCTCTAGGGACAAGGTAACAGTTGTAATGTAGCAACTTCCCCATATACAATAACATAAGGGTATAATCCTGAGTATTTAGTTCGTGATTGTTTTCCATGGCTTTTATGGTTTCCTCTACCATTGGTAATGTACTTCTTCCTCTGAATTATCATAAACAATCCTGTGCCATATTTCCTACTACAGTAATTTATTGTACCATATTAGCTGTTGAGTTTAGCAGACATTCCTGCTTGTTGTTGTTAACCTCTGGTAAGTGCAAGGTTTGGAAATCAAAACTCAACAAGCTGGGAATAAATGCTGTATACACTGTAAACTGCTGATTTTATTAAAGGGCTTTATAATGGTGTATAAATGGGCTAAGTTACCAAGGTGCGGCAACTTACAAACATAAGGACATCTTCCCAGAGTAGTTTGGGTGCTACGTGATATGCTTGTGATACAAAGGTTTTGCTATAATAACACTGAAGTAAAAGATCTGAGATAACCAACCTTTAAAGTACTCCTATTTGAGGTTGAAGATATAGCAAGTAGCTACAAAGTTCAGAGTTAGATACTCTGTTTACACATACTGCCTTGTAGATAAACAATAGCTGGAGTAGCATGGAGCTTCCATAATGTGTGCAGATTTGCCTGTATTTGTGTCTTTGTCAGTGATTTGGCTACTATATATCATATTGAAAATTAAGGTAGATAATTTCCTGAACTAATTATAAATAAATGCTATTATTATACTGTAGAGTGCTTTTATTACTATAGGTCTGACTTTACAATATTCTTAAAGCACATCAGTGAAGCAGTGTATAAATTGTGTTCTCTCTCATTACCTGTAGAATTTATCATGTAACATGAATACAATAGCATCTCATAGAAAAGTTTGTGTCTCGTTACCAGGCAGATTATAATACAATACGTAAATGGTTTCTAATCACCTTTCATCATACAGTATCCACACTGTTACACATTTATCCATAGAATTATATATCTTCTCATAGAAACAAATAAATCTCCATCAATGATACTTACCCAATGAATCTTAATACGTGCCAATCTTTCAGACGCGGGCGACGTGGGGGAGGCACAGCCTCGGGCGGTGAGGGAGGAGGTGACACACCCACAAGTAGTGAGGCATCAGCGAGTGGGGCTGGGGGTGGTGATGACAGTATGCCTCCAACCTCAGCTTATAACACACCAACAGCCTCCTTAGCTGCCCTCTCCTCACCTACCTCTGATGTTACACCTTCCCCTGAGGTAAGTATCTTCTCGCATACTGTATACATAAGTGAGCGCTCTTCCATGCTTACGTGTAACAAAAATTTCAAATATAAATTCATCCACATACGTTATATGTCCACTGACACATATGTTCATGGTTTTTCATACATCCACCCATAATTGACGTGAATATAATCAACTATGTAAAGCCTTTCACTTGGACATGAAATAATTACTCACATCATATGACTGCATACATTTGACCACTGAGCTACAGTGGTCAAGACTCCTGCCTGCCATTCTTGGTGGCCCATTAACACTTACCGAGTACAGACTCATTTAAGAACATGTGCTCACTGTTGACTTATGTTACAGAGAAAATTAAAACACTTCCCAGTATAATATTGATTTGTCTCGTTAGGAAGTGTTTACAGAATTGGTATGCCATGGCCCTGCAAGTAACTGAAAGGTTGTATAATTAAGTACAGTAAATTGATGCTAACACAACATAAAAAGCTATATAAATGATTTTCTGAAGTGATAAATGCTCAGCTGTAAACAATTTAAAGCTACAGTAGTCAGAGAACTGAGGCAACTCTTAGGAAAGATTTTAACAGAATAACAAGAGAGGTGATATAAAAGTGTAAACATGTTATGCTAATGACTATGAGAAGGAAAATATAATATCATAAACATTAACTAAGGTGAACTTAGTGGAGAGAATTGTCTATGTGAAAGCTACTTAGAGTATTGCATGTAAGTAGTTAAGTTATTGTACTGTAAAGTAAAGTAAAATGTACAGGACTCTGGTAAAATTTATTGTACTCTTAACAACAGTGAAAGAACAAGATGGCAAATTTCATGGGTTAGAAACAATAAGATGAGAACTTAACTATAACAGTAAAAGACAACTTGATCAATAAATCTCTAAACAATGAAAGAATAATTACCGAATAGGATAAATAATTATCAGAACAATAAATTTTTCAGAAATAGAAATTTACATATTCATTAAAAAAAAAAAAAACTTTTAGGTACTGTATACATTATTCATTACCCAAATAGAAATAAGCAAGAATTAGGTTAGAGTACTTTGTTTAATCACAGAGCCTTACTCCCATAATATAAGCATCATCTGCCAATAGCTAAAAGTAAAGTATAAAAGTGAAAAAAAGTAAAAGTTAAACTCAAGATTTCGTGATAAACCCAGCATTAATGTGAGGAACGATACCCCATTATTCCTCTCACAGTATTGTCTCTGTGGTTAACCTTGGCCAACTAATGAACAATCTGCCCACATTGTCAAGGCCATAGAGAAAACAAAGAACTCCTCTGAAATCTGATACAGTAGACACCCTGACCCTACTCATTGTCCTCTTTAATATAACTGGATATATTTTTTCTGGATAGATGTTGTAATTTGGATATTAATATAGTAAATGTCCTTTTATTAATCATTTGCATATGAAGAGTATAAAACCTACCTTATTTATAATTTTGAAACACGATCTTTAGCAACACTTTGTAATATAATGGTTGTGTTTTTATGCAAACATCTACCAACAATTCTACAATCTGCCTGCTAGAAAAGTGTGCTTGAGGTTTGTCTAATACTGTATAATATTTAAAGTAAGAAATATTCTTTCACTACATCAGCACACTGTACTCGCACATCTGTGTTGTTGTTACATGTTAACACAGTACTGTAGTATATTTGCTGTCCCCTGAGAGATTTATACCTGGGGCAATGTTTATTTGTAAATACTGTATATTCTATTTTTTCGTGAGGAATTATCACTTGTCCTGAGTACTTCATTATGCCTGTTTATGTTGTCCTTGTTCAGTAACCCAAGGCAAAATATGATATGTGTACAGCATGCCCTCTGATGCACTTCACAGTCACGAGTGGCAAGTTCAGAGGTCAGCCATGAAGCACACACTTGTCTCTCATAATTATCACATATTCACAAACCTTATCAGTACTGTGAGAAACCAAACACTTCCTCATGTCTCATAATGGCCACATACTCACAAATCTTCTCACAGGCAAATGCAAGGAAATCTTTATATGTTTACTTTAAGATCACTGTTATGAATGTAAAGCACCTTACCAGTGTCTCTGATGGCCAGACTCACAAATCTTCCCATATACAGATGCTTGAAGACCTCAAAAATATTACCTATTAAAAAATCAATTCTTAATTTTTGTTTCACTGTAAATATTAGAATACAGTATAGTTTTGATTTGATTTGATTCACTGTCTTTAGTTAATGTTTGAGCATTATTTTCTCTCAGCATTATCCCATGTGTATGAGCTAGAGGTAATAGTCCTTGCAGCAGAAGGCCAGAGGTGTTATTTGTTCACTAAGAAAGAGTCTGAAGTACACGAAGTAATCAATCGTGTTTCGTTTTAATTCTTCCTTGACCACTTCTTCCCATCCTCTCTCCATGTTTTATCACTGCCCACCCATCCTCCCATTTTTTTCTCTTCTCTTTTCCTACATCCCCTCACTTTCCTCTTACTCCTCTTGTTATCCAGTCTCTTCTTTGCCCTTACAATTTTGCAACTGTCTTCTTTCATCTTTCCATTTCTCTCTCTTCTTTTCTTCCCATTTCCTTCTCTCTCTACTTCACCTTTCTTTCCTCTATTACTCCCCTCACCCACATTCATCTTTTTTCTCTCTTCCTCCATTCCTTTCTCCACTATTCACTTTGTCATTGTTGTTCATTCCTGTAATGCTCGGTCACCTAGTGTACACCTCAGTATTACTAGCCATGAGAAGAATAGCTGAAGATTTTATTTAGTTCTTCAACTCATTCAGTATTTAGCAACAAATCAATTGTAACTGGGGGAAGAATATCAATATGAACTATTTCTAATTAGTTTATATATAATTATGATATTAATTACTTGCTAATTACTTGAAGAATACCCTCTAGGGTGTTAGTACTGTAATTAGTTGATAATTGCATATATGTTAATTATAAGTTGCATGATTATGGGAAAGATTTGTGCTGTACAGTATTTAGCTTCAATTTTAGATATGCATATGAAAAGCAAATTTGTTTTTCAGCTGTTCTCGACACTTTGTAATTGTAGTACATTTCACCATTCAGTAAATGCTTTCGCTGGTAGCTTGACAGTATGTCTTTGCAGCACCCTACGCATCGCCTCTTGGAGGTATCTTCGCCTCAACGGCAGCACCCCAGCATCTGCCAGGATGTGTTCCACACACCGCCACACACGCCGCCCACCCCTCAAAATCACCCAATTAGAGCCAACCATATCAGCCAAGCCCACAACGACCGCCCACTTACAACGACGCGTTATCCGCCCAGAGACTCACGCAGTACCCATTGGTCGAACACAAACCATTTGACCCAGAATGGTCATGCGGGTAGGCGAGGACAGCCATGGACGTGACCCAGTTGTAGTCGTGATGTGTCCATGATCCTTAACTCACTGGTTGTACCCCTACCATGGCTCCCTTTCAGTAGTTACATCTCAGCACTTTTTACTTAGATTCTTTTAGTTGTGGGTTTAGTGAAACAAGATGAGAGTAACTTATTGGTTTTACAGGGCATCCGCTAGGAACTGGAGAGACTTCCCCCCTCCACCGCATCCTCACTCACCAGTGGTTAAAGGCAGAGAGTGAGAACAGTGACATTACTAGCTGATAAAGACAGTTCATAGAGGTGGAGTGAACCAAACAGCAGACAAATCAAATTAAGTTTTTATATGTGATTTTGTTTTTTTTATTTATTTTATATTTGTTTTAGTAAAAATTGGAATTATGTCTTGCAGTATTCTGCCCTGGAAGTGATTGTACAGTGAAAATTAGGACCCAACTTGGGATTATACTAAGATATAGGATTTTCCCAGTGACTCAAAGGCAGGACTGCTAGTGATATTAGGCAGCATTGCCACCATGCTCATCCTCACAGCAAGAACTTAAAGTGTTTGCTGTTACCACATCCATGGTATTCATCACTGCAGCATGTTACCATTTAGTGCTGTGTGAATTCTTTTGCTGTTAAATGGCAGCTGCATCACCATGAGTGCTGTTCCAATGCTGCCACTTGTTTTGGTCCTTTGAAGCACCAGAAACATTTCTGTCCAGAACTTTGAATAGTGTTTCTTCGGTTTTGTGTCATATTTGTATATCTTACATTCTAATCACATCATTGCAATAATAACTTATGGTTATATTTATATATTGTATTTTAAAGAGCACCATGTGATGGGCCAGACATTTTATGCTGCAGTCTACAGTGTGTTTTACTTATAATGGTAGAAAGCTAAATATAACATTGTTAGTACAATATTTACCACAAGACTTAGCTTAAGCTAGAAGGATTTGTTTATTTCTAAAATGATCTTTTTAGCCAAGAGAACTTCTTATACTGTTAAGAAGAGGGGAAGCATGTGGATTTCCATTTCCACATGTCATTTGACCAGTGCTATACAGTTGCACCTTTCATATACCATAACAGAAATTAAATATTACTTAAGAATCATATGTATTATGTACTATTGGTTGGGGGAAAGTCATGAAAAAACAGGATCTTAACAAAGTAAAGTGAGGTCATATTTTAAGCTGATATTAAGTGAATGTAGTAGATCATTAGACATCAGCATCTGATTGAAATATTAGGAAAAGTTTATCAGATCTTTGGCCCTTTATAATACAGTTCAGGGATGGAGGTAAAAGGAAGTACTTCCTTCCTACTGTCACCTAAACTTAAGATTCTTAATAAGTACGACGCCTCGGTGGACCTCTCTATTGGTAGCATCCTCTGCAGAGAACACCTTTATATAATTTGTTCCAAGAAGATTTCATTCCTGTCCTCCATCACCAACTTTAGAAAAACTTCACCAGCAGCTGAAGATGACATGCCTTTTGCTTCCAAAGAACAAGTTCTGTATTACCAACTGAAGACCAAAAGTTCCACTTGAAATTTAAAGTCTAAGCCCATCAGTTGCTGCTGGTCACATTTATATTAGCAGCTGAATGCAGAGACTTTGCTATCAGGAGTTGAAGACCCATTTACACTCCTAGCAGGTGAACATCATGTTCTACAAGCAACAAACTGAAGATATTTTTACCTGTACCTGAAGACAAAGTTGCCTCTTCAGAGAAACACCAAATTTCACCAGTCATTTTTTACCTGTAACTGCAGGCCAAATTTCATCAATGAAATGTTCGATATCTTTAAACCTTGTTAAGAATTGTTTCACTAGTAACAGATAATACTAAGTTTTCTGAAGCAGGTGAAGACCAATTTTTTTTTTAATTTTTGAGGACAGAGTTCTTATGCCATCTGCATAGATTATGATGCCATCAGTAGCAGATTACTGTACTCTAGAGGTCCTCTGGGCACTGGCAGGAACTGTACTGTAGTCTTTAGTTCTCACCAGTAACTGTAGAAGCCACCTGGTCTCCAACAGTAGCTGTGAAAATTATAAGACTCCTCTAGTAGCTGAGAGATCCCCTGACTTCCACCAATAGCTGTAGAGGTCATCTGGCTTTAAATATTGTCTTGGAAAAATCTTTAAGGCTTGATAAGTCTTGTGGGTGGTGGCTGTAGCTCATCCATTTCACTATAGCTCAAGGGTTTTGTAAAAACACTATGCAATTATTTCATGTTATGCTTATAGAGTTATAAAACTTCTATCTTTTAGAAAAAGTTGATCATGTAGGACATAGTATTGTTAGAAAGGATTTAGAAACTATAATACAGTGTATTTCCAGAGAAGGAATCAGCCAAATTATCTTCTCGTTATATTTTAAGAAAGTTTAAGTGATGTTTAGTTTGTCAAGAGGATAGATTTCTGTTCAAAAATTTAAACTTTATTCATCACCTTTTTGTAGAGGCCTCCAGAATGAGTGTATGCTAACACAACACACTTTGAAATACTAGAAATGAATTGAGAGTGTGGAGCTTTTAAGTCATTCAGTATTTTTCAAGTATTGAAAGTGTACGTTTTTTGTATTTGATTAAATTTTTGAAATTGAACCAGTAATTATACATAATGGCACCATAATCTTCATATTGAATTTCCCAACATGGAAGATTGACAACCTAAATCACACTGTTCAATGTTTTGGTAAGTGAACCAGAAGTGTTTTATTTTTATATTTTGCTGTGATCTTAAAGCATCTGTTATGGTAATTGTGTTTTTGTAAAAAAAAAAAAAAAGTTATCACCAGAAATGTTCACATAAATATATATATACAGCTTCACTTGTAAATTTGCAGTTATAACATATATCTATCAAACCACAAATACTCTAAATGACACCTTAGACTTTACATGAATACCTTGTGTCTTGGTCTTTTCCTCCAGATATTCATACTGTCAACAAAGGTGACTATAGTAGTCAGTATAAACTCATACATTTAGTACTTGGTAGTGAGTGAGAGCTCTTATAAAGGGAAGTCTTGGTTAGATATGTACTTATTGCAGGCTTAGTGGACCTGAAAATGATTGTCTGTTTTTGCTGTTCAGTTTACTATGAAGGATATCGTGTGACAGAATTAATAGTCATTGCAAAGGTTCAGTTATATGTTGACAATTAGTTAAAACATTGCAGTATGTGCATACACACTAACACACACATGTGCACATGCACTTACACACATAGTCCCACACATGTAGCTGTACACTCACTCAGGAGACCTTAACTCTGAACACTATTGTTTCATATTTTTAGGTTTATGTTGGGGTAGGTCATTAAACATTGTCATAGTCTTGGTAAAAAAACCAAAACATTTGCTGATTTCTTGATGTGTGCTGTCTATTGAACTTGTAGCCATTATCCAAGGTGTGAATGGTGCATCCACAGCTGTCCAGATAAATTGCATTGCTCATGAGCAGCTGCTCACCTAGGCTTTACGCTGTAAATGTATAGTTACGGTGTGAGGTTCTTCAGAGAATTAGGCTCTTCACTGTATAGTTTTGAAGTTAGACAATGCATTTATGAGGCCAGGCTCTGCAGTTTGCATTGGCTTTGCTAAGCTGTGCATTGTTTAGGACCAAAGCTAGGCTTGTCATTCTACAAAGTTATCATTGTATTGTATAGTTTCAGGACTGCACTGTGCAGCCACTGCTCTAGACTGCATTGATCATGCAAAAAAAAAAAAACTGTTGTAGAGAGCACAATTGTAGCTTCATCTGAGTGATGCCAAATCATGTATATCATAAAGAATATATTTTTGTAAACAATATGGCAATAAGAGAGAGATCACAGCCCGAACTGTTACATTATTTAAGGATGTTGTGCTGTCCTGAGTTTTAAGTCTAAGAGTCGGGATGATATTCGCTCATAAATTAAATCTGTTAGACCAATTGTTGTACTTTTGGTTGTCTTTAACATTGGCTGTTATGGTTAATATTTTACTGAATGCTACAGTGTGTTTTGTGTATGTTCATATCTGTGAGTGTGTGCATGTGTATATCAGTTTCACAATTTGATTACTTACTTATATATTCTGTTAGATATGAAGATGCTCATCACCCTTGATATTCATAAGGTTTTAACTAATAATGTTCATTTGAAAGTGCAATTAAAAGAATCTTTCAATGAATTTGGTTCAGAAATATTCAAATTTGGGCTTTGGGAACACGATAGAGTGAAAACAAGGGGTGGACATTTGCTCATACACTGTACTATGACAATGACAGAAATTATATATCAGTATATTTTGTTTTTATCTTAGCCAGCTGAAATATATAGTGCTGTTCCCTTCAATGTGTGCTCAAAATATGTCTGGTATTAGGGTTTGCCTAAAACTAAACTACTGTAATTAGAAAATTTATAAGAAAATCTATCAGAAGTTTTGTGGTTATTTCAACTTTTTTTGGTATTATATTGTGGATTAATTCCCAGTAATATGAATGCAACTATCTGCTAATATTCACAACTTAGACTCTTTCAAGTGACTCACATCTTATAGTACTAAGTCCATAGTTTGAAAATCTTACATAAATCCTTCAACATTAGTGGCTGGAAGTATTTGATGTATTTTTTATGTGTTCCCGTCATCACCAAGTCCCCGAAAGAGCATTTTGGAAACAATTGCCATTTAAAATAGAAGGCAATGAGTCATAATGTCACAGCATATACGCATTGTGTCTTGCAGCTAAGGGCTCACTCATAAGCCAACATACTGTAGTGTACAGGCTTCAGTCATCACTAGCAATCACTGTTTAGATGGCTCATTGGCTGCAACATTAACAACTCTTAGTGGGAAACAAAACTGTATGTTTTAACCTCCACTCGTAGCACTAGTGATATCTTAATAGCTGTTATTACTTGTAAGGCTTTATATTTGTTTATGATGTGCTGCAGGTGATGTGATCAGTTTAGTAACATCCAAGTTGCAGTTTGCCATTGGATCAGTTTTATGGTTCAATATGAACCATCTTTAGATATTTGTTCACTGGACAAGGATATCTGGTTCATTTTTGGAGATAGTTTTCAAGATTTTTTTTGTCAGATTGAATGGAGGTCTTATCTTGAGGGCACAAACCTGCATACTGTATAATGTCCTCTGATAGTAGGTAGTTATTGTGTGTCCCTCGGTGCCTTCGGACATATTTTGGATTGGTTTGTTTATTTGCACACGATCAAGTCATGATAGTTTGGTTGGGATCTGGGTGAGTGATTTTTGTTTTTCAGAAATTCTGATCCATTTACCTAATGAATCTGAATTACCCAGCCAGTAATAGTGTTCACCCACAACTGGGACTTAAAACAAAGACATGGGTCCAATATTCTACATCCAAAGTAAAGAACTAAGAGTCAAAATAGATCTTTATGCATTGAATTATTTTTTTATGAGTCATTATACACTACACTATTGTATTTCACTTGTTTGTAATGTGTTCTTCTTCTGGTTTGTTTTTTCACCTACTATTATTATCTATGCAGGTTAATTACCGAAGCATTTGTGGTGGCTCTTTACTGGCCAGGTAAGACTGTTTCTTCTCCTTACAGCATTCAGTTAGATTCAAAACCCCTCAAGTTTCCTTTTATGGCTTTGAGTCAGAGGATGGGGAAGAGGATAGTTTTATCTACTTTGTTCTATGTACTGTAAAGCGTTTTGTTACTTCTGTATGTACTTCTTGTTTTCTTGAAGTGAGTTATCAGTGGGTTGGAGAGTTTCTCTTTGGAGGCTTCCCATTTTTCTTCAGGTTTGGATGTCAGTGTTGAGCTTTCTTTTATTATCAGAGTTGGATATCTGTTTTCATGACAGATTTGTAAACATATGACTCAAGTGGCTCAAGCCTCAGGTGCACCACTTGTTTGATGACTGTTCTCTTAGAGGCACAGTAAGTAACCTGATGTCTAGCATAATGCTCCAGAGTTGTACAGATATTATTGGGAGGTATGTAGGGCTAGTTTCCTTGAACGGAAATTAAAATAGTGTGAACTCCCCTTATGGGATGCATGTCATATTAGCTTTTAGAGCACTTGTGCCACCTTCCCCCATTATGTAACTGGTTTCAGGTACTTAAGTAGCTTAGGGAGGCTATAGGTCAAAGGGGATTGATCTTGAAATCTCATTTTATTACTGGGCCAAGGGTAAATGTTTGGGGTATCCTCCCTCCTCCCATTGTGTAATATTAGAGCCAGCCAAAACTGAGTGTAAAAGCCCAGTGTTTCAACTTATCGTCTGCAGCTGACAGGCATAGTGTGCAGATGTAACATAACATCTTGACTATGATTTCTGTCTACAATGGTGACTGATCTTTCTGAAGAGTTATTTCACAAATTTAGTTATGATGGGAAGTCATAACAATTTCATGAATTAGTCTTGGGCGCTAAAGCCTAAGAGTTTACCTGGGAATTCACACCATGGATTTAATGCTATAATAAGTGAGTCAGTCAGTCCAGACTCGCTTACAAAACTTATTTTCAGGATCAAGTTTCCATTCTTTTTTTGCTTCATATCATTTAGAGTGTCTCATTTTTCTGAAGGCCAATTGAGTCAAATGTACTATTTTTGTTCAATCCAGAATGCGACTCATTATCTAAATGTAATACTCATGCTTTAATATCATCTAAACCAGGTTGAATTTCAATCTTCCATGTATGAGAAAGTGTCAATCAGTTTAGTCTCTTATGATGACTGAGGGAGATCACCTTTTTAAGTGCTGTACATGTACAGGTATTTCCTAACAGCATCATATGATATTGCCTGATTGTGGGATTGAACCCAGCTTGATGGGTAATTGTAGTGCAGTGCTGTACTGTATGAAGACCTCTCATGCATTTACAGTGTAATGATAGTTCTTGCTGTGATACACAAGTAAAAGAAGCTTTACTGAGACATAAAACAATATTATTTTAGATATTTTTATCATTGTGGTGAGCCAGTTGATCATTTTACCACGGTAACAATTTATATTTCAAGACATAATAAAATTTAGTACCGTATACTGTATACTGTATACAGTATATATGCATATACAATATGCTTTATTAAGTGATTCCTGCTTGAATATTTATTACAAATAATAAGATATTTTTATTAAGATTATTGGAAGATATAGGAAGTGATTTTCATAGTTTCATGTATGGAATGTATTCTATTGACAGTTACAATATACCCAGCCCCCTTTACCTCTCATTTTTTCCCGTTTTCCCCCCGAGTCATAGGTGTATCTTCCAAGTACATGATATACAGGGGTATTGTACTGCTCATAATGAATTAGGAAGTCATCTTTTTAGTAACATTTGTTCTTTTCTCACATGACGATGATCTCTGTCTGTGTTTGTGATGGTTTAAGGCTTTACTGTGGTCAGTATTTGAAAACTTATGAATGTACTGTAATAAGCATCTCGGGCAAGAGACTTTAATATTATTCATTCAGGAAAGTCTTACGCAAGCATGTGAGTCAGTGTACTGGCTAACTGGATTCATTATGTATCAGTTCTATGCTCAGCAGATATTTCATGGTATCTTCATAATACTGTATATTTATTTTTCATCCATTACATATGAAGAAGATTGTAATGATGATATAATTACTTCTTGTTCTGGTGGGTTAAGTTCAGAACGAACTACTGGTACTCAAGAAACATTAGGCTGTGTACTAAAAGTGGAATTTTGATGATATGATGTCAGTATGAATGGACATAATTCTTGTCACTTTAAATGCATGTATTTTTGGGGTCTCTCATTACTCTCAATGTGTATTTAACTGCTCTCATTGTGTTTACTCCATAATTATACTCCTCCAGTTTTGTAACGGATTAGGTGTTCTTGTGTTCAGTTTGTTATTATCACATTTATATGAATACAGTTCTTTGCATTCCTCTCATCCCATTTTTTTAGTATGTGTGCAGTATTTCTGTAAGAGTATATTTATATATACAGTGATCCGTCGGTTAACGAATGCCTCGGTTAACGAAATTTCGGTTAACGAATTACCTTCCATAAGAATCTTCAATTTGGTTAACGAAAAAAATTCGGTTAACGAATTCCTTACGAATTCTACTCAACATGTTTTCGCTTGCTCACCACCTGGAATATTAGTCCGCCAATACATTAATCGGTTCTAGGGCTTAAATTCGTTCTCATTGAGTAAATATCAAGAAGGTTGTACTATTCAATAATTTTAAAAGTTTTATATTAAAATTTTTAGTCATTTTAACAATTATTGAACATAATTGAAGTACAGGAAACTAGTTTTTAGCACGTCAAACAGCCACTCGACTCACCCAGCAGGCATCAGTTTGTGTCTCTGCTCAGTGGAGGTAACATCTTGCTTGAGACTCTTGAACATAAACTATTTTTACATTTTTACAGTACACTGTACAATTATTGGTCATTCTGAAGTTTATATTACATATTGACAATATATAGTGCAGTGCAGTGTTGATTTAAAGAAAATAATCTTGAATTACACCAAGTGAACTAAAATTTTATGGGTGAAATGGCGGCATGAAGCATAGGGTGATTTCTCTTCCACTTCCTTCTCTTCTCCTTTCTCCTCCACCCCTACTTCTAATTCCAATCATCATCATCATCAACCAGGAGCCTTCTACATGCACACCTCAAAGTAAGTGTACTTTACTGCATTTATTTTTAGTTTGTATGTAATTTTCGGTGAGCTGGAACCAATTACCCAAAATCCCATTGGAACAATGGTTTCGTTTAACGAAATTTTCGGTTAACGAACGACCTTCTGGAACTAATTGTGTTCGTTAACCGAGGGACCACTGTGTATATATATATATACAGTATATATATATATATAATCAGTTACGTGAATCTTATATTCTTATATTGATAAAATTATACATATCTCTGGTCATATTATCTTCAATACATCCATTTCTCAGGTCTTATTGTATTTAAAACTGTTTCTCTGATCTTGTTGTATTTAACACACGCATTTGTCTGGTCTCGTCCTATTTAACAATTTTTTTATGGTTTTTATTCAACTGTTACTATACTGTACAGGTCTTGGTCCTACACTTCAAGGCATATTTCATGTCTCCTCTTAAATAGAAAATTAAATGTATGAAAAAATTTTGTCTACCTTGAATTATTGATAATTTACTGTTCAATGTGATGATCTGTTTAGCATTTGCTTGTGTGAATTAACATATTGATAAGTGTAAATAATTCTGACTCATTATTTCAGATCTCCTTGGTCTTATTGATCTCATAGTGGCCAGTGGTACTAACATTTGACAACATGGAAGCTGGTGGAAGAATTATTATCAGTTCATAAGTAATCCATAATGTCAAATGTATGTAATGGACACATTTCCTCTTCTGGAGACATATTTTCAATGGTATCCATTTGAAATACAGTAACATTTATATTCTTTTTCATTTGCTAGGCTATTGAGTATGAAGTGATGTAGAGTGTACACATGTGTCCATGGTCTGCTGTGAGCTGATCATGGACAAGTTACTGTAGTGTCCCTTGGTATGGTAAACCAACTCCAGTGACAAAAAAGAATCATTTATACAGTGATTTTTATAAACTGTAACTCTAGTCACAATGTTTCCAAGATAAATTTCTCTAATCTTCTTTGAGCTGAGGTGTGGTAAGGTATGGATATTCAGGAACATTTGAAGATGTGAAGTGCATATGAACTGTCCTTGAGATGTCATTGTGAGGAATAGTGGTGCGCCAGGCTGCGAGGTGAACGTTCATGGCGCTTGCAACAATTCCCTCCAGTTTCTATGGGTTGTCAGTTTGGTACAAAGCTCAGATGCGTTAACAAATTCATGTCTGTTTTACCTACGCTAGTTAACTCCTTTTTTCCTCTTAATAAATCATGAAACACATTCATTTTGAAGCTAAGCTTAATGAGTTTTATTTACCTTTCTTTGCTCTTCACTCCAGATCCATATCGCCCATCTCACCTTCCTTTTTATTTTATTATTTCATACCTGTACAGCGGGTCCCCGAGTTACGAATGTCTCACATGAATTCCCACCGATGCAAACGAGGTCCCAAGAGGTTAATTATTTTAAGAATCCGACATAGGTACAACTGGTTCATAGTATTAACGTACGAGAACTAGTTTGCATGGTGTAGCTGCGAGGCGGAGCGGCAGGTTGGGAGTAATGCGTCGCCCAGCCATGTGCCTTGAGGGAGCATCAGTACGCCTTACCCTCACCTCATTAACGTGATCAAATGCAAACTGATGTTTTATGCTTATTAACTGGTGCAAGTGATGGTAGTGCATCCAAGAAAAGGAAAACAATTACCTGTACGATGGATGTGAAACTTGATGATAAACGTTCTGAAAAAGGCAAAACACCCTCAGTCATCGGTAAAGCATTGGGCTTCAGACGGTCAACAGGTGGAACAATTTTGAAAGGCAAACCAGAATTAGCAGACATGTAAAAAGCATCTAACACCAATGCACTAATCTGTGATGACAAAACAAAATGTGGATAGTTGGTGAAATGGAAAGATTGTTGATGATATGGGTGGAAGATCAGCCAGCCCCAGGTTTAAATGTAAGTGTTAAGCTTTAATTTTTACTTTACTGCTGCTGCTGCTGCTGCTGCTGCTGCTGGTGCTGCCATTTGCTGTTCAGCTGCCGCTACTGAGCTACTACTGCTGCTGCTGCTACTGAGGTGCTGAGTTGCTGCTGCTGCTGCTGCTGGTGGTGCTGCTGCTGTTCAGCTGCTCGCTTACTGCTGCTGATGCTGCTACTGCAGCTGCTGCTGCTGCTGCTGCTGAGCTGCTGATGCTGCTGCTGTTCAGCTGCCGCGCACAGGCTGCTACTGCTGCTACTGAGGTGCTGAGCCTTGCTGCTGCTTCTGCTACTGAGCTGCTGCTGGTGGTGCTGCTGCTGTTCGCTGCTGCTGCACTGAGCTGCTACTGCCTTTACTGAGATGCTGAGTTGCTGCTGCTGAGCTGCTGCTTCTTAATGCTACTTTTGCTTAGCAATACTGCTGCTGCTCCTTCACCGTGCTGCTACTAAGCTGCTGTTACTGCTGCTGCTACTGGCTGCTGTTACTGCTGCTGCTGGTCTGAGCTGCGGCTGTAATTGCTGCTACTACTGCTGGGCTGCTACTGCTGCTGCTGCTGCTGGTATTGCTTTCTGGCATGCTAATACAACTGGGCTCACTGTTGATTCTGTGCGCAGAGCTGCTGTTATAACGCGCATGCTGTTACTGCGCTTAGCTACTGAGCTGCTGTTGTTGCTGCGGCTGCTGTTCTACAGGCGGCTGCTGCTGCTTCTGCTGAGCTGCCACTGTTATTTGCTGCTGCTTTTTGCTGAGCAACTGCTGCTTGTGCTGCTGCTGCTGCTGCTACTACTTCTACTGAGCTACTGCTGCGGCTGCTGGCTACTTGCTGCTGCTGCTGCTGAGCTACTGCTGCTGCTGCTGCTGCCAGACTTAACGCTCTTTGCTGCTGCTGCTCTTGCTGCTGTAGCTGTTCGCCTGCTGGGTTGCTGCTTAACAACGCGCGCTGCTGCGGCTGGCAGCAACGCTGCTGCTGCCGCTGTCCTGCTGCTTAGCAACGCTTGATTTGCTTACTGCTGAGTCTTAACGCTTATAACGCCATTTTGCTAACCATACATCACTCATCACTGCTTAACGCTTCTGCTACTGATAACAAGCTTCTGCTGCTGAGGTTGTTGTTTCTTAACGCTTAACGCTTAAACCTGCTGGGCAGCTGCTGCTACTATTTAACGCGGCTGCTGGCTACTGCTGGGCTGCTGCTTTTAACACGCTGCTCGCAACATTTGCTGCTGCTGCTTGCTGGCTTTCTGCTGGGCGGCTTAACCCGCTGCGGCTGCTTCTGCTGCTTTACTACTGAACTACTGCTGCTGTGGCACCGCCAGCCTGCTGAGCTGCCAAGCTGCTGCTGAGCTGCGCTGCTTTTGCTGCTGCTCCTGGTTACTGCGCAACAGCAGCCATGCTGCTACTACTACTACTTCTGCTGAACGGCTGCTGGTACTGGGCTGTTGGCTTTTGCTTGCTGCTCGTTAACAACGCTTAACCTTGCTGCTGTTCCTGCTACTTCTGCGCTACTTCTGCGGCGACAGCAACGCGACCTCTTTTCTAATTTAACGCTGCTGCTGGTTAACGCTGCTTAACTCTTTCTGTTGCTGCTGCTGTTGCTGTTGCTTGCTCCTAAGCTACGGGCTACTGCTGTTTGTAACAACAACCTTTCGCTTCTACTGGGGGCTGCTTAACCCGCCAATAATATATTTGCTGCTGCTGCTACTGCTGGACTGCTGTTTTTGCTGCTTATCGCTGCTGTTAGCTTATCATAACCTTAACTGCTTAACTTAACTGCTGCGGCTGCTGCTTTGTTGCTGCTGCTGTTATTACTGCTGTGTTGCTTGCTGCTACTTATTAACGCTTTCTTTCACTGCAATGGCAGCAACAGCAACAACAGCACCGATTAAAGCAGCAGCAGCGCAACTTTCTTGTTCAACCCAACAGCAGCGAGCAAACAACAACAGCACCAACGGTGTGACGACGGCGGCTGACGGCGGCGCAACGTTAACCGAAAGCAGCGGCGGCGGCGGCAACTGCGCGTTGACAACCTGGCAACAACGTTGAGCGGCGTGACAACAACGGTGACTGACAGCAACAACGTTGACGAGCCGGCAGCAACCAGCACTGATGACAGCAACAACAACGTTGACAGCAACAACAACGGTCGGCAGCAGCGGCATGGCACCAACGTTGTGGCCAGCGGCGCAACAACCGATTAACGGCAACGAAACAGCGGCGTGCCGTTGGCAGCCCAACGGCGGCAGCAAGCGACAACGTTGGCAGCAGCGGCGGCTGGCAACAGCGCGTGGCAACAGCGGCAACCCGGCGGCAGCAGCTCCTTTCTTTGTTGACAACGAGCAGCAGCAGCAACCGTAACATCAACTGCTACACAATTAACCCAACAACAGCTCGCCTCACTTCAATTAACAACAACAGCAACAAAGCTATCGTTTGGCTTTCTTTCTTAAGCAACGGCAGCAGCACAACGTTGAAACAACGGCGGCAACAACAACGAACAACGGCAACTTGACAACAACGATGACAACAGCAGCGATACGGTTTGTACGCTAACAACGGTGGCGGCAGCAACAACGTTGACGGCAACAACGCGTCGCGTAACCGGCCTTAACGTTGGCCAGCGGCGACAGCAACCATTGACAGCAACAACAACGTTGACCAGCAGCAACAACGTTAACCAGCAACCGCTTTAACGTTGGCAGCAGCAACCCATATAACGTTATTTAAGCAACGGCTTAACATAACGTTAACAGCAGCAACAACAACATACTGCTGGCAGCAACAACAACGGTGGCAACAACAACAACGTTAACAACAACCTTTCCAACTGCTGTTAACAACCAGCATCCTGCGGTATACTACTACTTTCGGTAGCTTAACGCTGCCTCCTGTTCTTAACGCTGCTTTCTTTCTTTGTTAGCAACAGCGCCCTGCTGTTAACGCTTAACCTTTCTGCGCTTAACGCTTAACGCTGCTACTGATAACCTTAACAACAGCGCTGCTGCTGCTGGTTTGATAACGCAGTTCTTGCTGTTTCTGAACTGCTGCTTAACGCTTAACATTTGTTATAGCAACGCTTAACTTATTTATGCTTTTGTTCCTTCTGCTTCTGAACTTAACGCTGCGCTTAACAACGGCGCACTGCAGTTCTTATATTTCTGAACAACGCTTGCTTAACGCTAACAGACACTACTACCTCTGGGCTGCTGTAGCCAACAACATTTTTAACAACAACGTTTCCTGCTACCTCCTGAACTGCCAGCGCTTAACAGCTGGCACCAGTTTAGCTGTTTAACAACAACGCAGTTCTTACTGTTTCTGGGCTGAAAGCAACGCTTGCCGATTTCCTCGCCTTCTTCACCGGGTTGCTTCTGCACTGCTTTCATTTGCTGCTGCTGCTGCTGCTGCTGCTGCTGCTTACTGCTGCTGCTGCTGTTGCTGCTTTGCTGCAGTTCTTACTGCTTCTGGCTGCTGCTGCTGCTGCTGGTTACTCTGTTCCCACTCTGCTGCTGCTGGTTACTTCCTTCTGCTGCTGTTTAGCAACATAACGCTTAACTTCTGCTGCTGGCTGCTGCTGCTGCTGCTATTTAACGCTGCTGTTGCTGCTTTTTGCTGCTGCAATTCTTACTATTTCACTGGCTGCTGCTTAACGTCTTCTGAGTTGTTTACGTTGCTTGTGGGTTAGCTTCTGAGTGCTTGCTTGCTGCTGCTGCTCACGCCGCTGAGCTGCTGCTGCTGCCCGCGCTGCTCCTTAACAACACTGCTCGTTCTGCTCATTATAACGGCGGTTTCTTCTACTGACCTACTGCTGGTGCTGCTGCTGCTACTACTACTGTCCTACTGCTGCTGCTGGTCCTACTGAGCTGCTGCTGCTGCTGCTGAGCTGGTGCTCCTTCTACTGCTCATACTGCTGCTAATTCTATTACTGACCTGCTGCTGCTGCTGGTACTTCTGCTGCTGCTGCTACTACTACTGGGCTGCTGCTTCCGCTGCTGCTGGTTGTGCAGCATAATTTGGTATTGTAATGTTTGTAAATGAGGTGTTTTGAATATTTTTTGTTTATATATGGAACTCTGTGTGCTATGCGGACATCTCCGCCTCCACACATGGGAAAACCTATCATACCACATCATAACGCTATTACACCATCTTACAATCTTACATCTCCCCCACCTCTTGGTTAAAGGAAATGACAATGCATCTTTGAACTGACGAAAGGAAAACAATTTTAGCGATAAAGAAAAATAATGCAACAAAACAATGACATGTTCGTAAGCTCGGGGAGAGAGCGAATTAGACAAAAGAAAGACAGAAAAAAAATAAAACTCAAAACAAATTTTACACTGCACACCCTACACCACGTAGTCAGCCAACTAGCCCGGGGCCTGCGGCCTCTCCCGGGCCTGGCCATGCCCGACCGGGACGGGGCCGGGGGGGGAGGGGGGGGGGGCGAGCGAGGGCTCGTGGTATGAGAGGGCATCGCTGGAGGGGGGCCAGGCGGCATAGCAGGGAGCACTACGGGAGTGGTAGGCACAGGGGCGGCGCCGCATCGTAGGTGGTACGTCTGTTGTAGATGGACACCCTGCCACTGCCAGTCAACCTGACGACATACTGCCTGTGAGGGCGGGCTTCCACCACTACGTCCCGCAGAGGTGGTTTCAGATACTGAATTTGAACCTTTACTCACAGCAAAAATTAGGCTCAATTACTGATTACGTTTCTGTAACACTTAGACAAATCTGACCAATTATATTAAATACTTATACCTCCTTAAGGGTATTATTACAAATTAGTGATACTAGAAGGATGGTCACTAAATACTTGTCTCTAGCACACAGGGAAGTTATTAAAGTACTTGTAGCATCATGTTATTACTGGATGAACAAACATGGACGTACCCCAGCACATCTCAACTGTGGGTATAGCTGGGTTACTCACATACTTATATAACAAGCACTAATTCTGGTGGTAGTAATATTTGTGGTTAAAGCTATTGCTTACAATCTAATCAGTGTTGGAGCTTGCAATGCAATAATTAAAGTGAAAAAAGTGCGAAAAATGGCATTCACATTTTGTGTTGAAGAGGCATAAGACAACAAGGGGCTAGTGACTCTGCCGTTAAAATTTCATTTTTGAGCATTTGACAGGTTTCTTTCAAATGATTAATGACATTCTTAAATTAAAAAAAACCCTGACAATTTCAATACAGTCATCATATTCTCTAATGATTGTGAATTAAAACAATCTGACTTCAGTGGCGAGTAGAACTCTTGTACGTCTCACAGGGCAGGAATAGGATTCTCACCTCTATTGCAGCTCTAACTGTTAGAGCTAACACAAGGACTTTCTTGACAATTTTGCTAAAAGTAAACACAGTTGATCCTTTCAACATCACTCACAATGGATCTTGAATGTTTCAGCTATAAGCAGGTATACATATATCTCAGTAACACAGACGCATTCATTCGTAATTTTTTAATCTACATAGGTAACATGAAAACGAGAGAGTATGAAACACACGAGAGAAAATGGACGCCTCAGTCTAAGGAAGCAGAGAGAAAACGGACATCTCAGTAGGGGGACTCATGAAGAAGTTAGAGCTACATGTTTTATAGGCCATTGAGCATAATATGAATAATCAAGTTTCTTTTTCTTGGATTTTGCTGATATAAAATCAATGTAGAATACGCTTCCACCCTATATTTTGTACTTAAGATGGTAGTATCCAACATGCCTTGGTTTATGTGACAGTCTGTGAATCCCTCAGTTTGGTGGTGGCTTCTAAAAAAAATAAAGCACTAACAACACTACAGGCTTCTCCTAGACCGGCCATACAATTTAAATGGGTACATTGTACTTCCCCACTTGCTTTGAAAATTAATCATGGCTGCAATGGTGTGGCATTCATACTCTGGGAATAGCGAAGTCTGCCAGACACTAGAATATTATCACCAAAGTTGATAAACTTCACTTCTTTAACCCATCCACAGACGAAAAATTTGTAGGCATCTAATGACTTGTATGCCCTGAGTTTATCAAGTGTATAAGCATTTTCTCTATAAATCGTGTAAGTTATAATGTCCATGTTCGCTATCGGTGGGAATGTATCTGGATTTACTGACCATCTTGATCTGGGAATTCTGTAAGGGTCTTCCTTGTAAACAAGTTTCAATTTCACCGAATACCTTGTCCGTAACGATGTGCCTAACGAATCAATATATCCCTGTGTGTTTTATTTATCACCACCGCCTGGTTTCTTACTGGATAACATTGTAATATTTTGTAAACGAAGTTGCCGCAGTAAATAGTCGCGTCGATATGGCGTGTTGTTGTTGACAGCAGCGAGTCTATACATAAACAACATGGTGGTGGTGCCCGAGGGGCCCTCCTAGGGGACAGCAGCGCTCCCAAGGGACCTCCCAGCGGCAAGGGCGTCCCAGGTGGCCCTAGCAGAGACGGCGGAGTCCCCAAGGGCCCTGACAGGGGCTCTGGCGCCCCCAATGGCTTTTACAGATTCGGTGGCGCCTCCAGCTGCCCTCCCAGGCGCAGCGAGCCCCCAGGGGAGCTCCCAGTTGTGGTGGCATACCCAGGGGCTCTCCCAGGGGTGACGGCGCCCACAGAGGCCCTCCCAGCGGCAGTGGCGACCCCAGGGGACCTCTCAGGGGTGGTGATGCCCCCAGGGGCGTATAAGGGGCAACGACGCCCCCAGGGGCTCTAGATACAGGCAGCGGCGCTCCTAGGGACTCTCCTTAGGGGCAGCGGTGCCCCCAGGGACTCAAGATGCGGGTAGCGGTGCTGCCAGGGGCTCTCCTTAGGGGCAGCGGTGGCCCCAGGGGCTCTACTAGAGGCGCCCCCTCCTAGGAACCCTATAGCTTTTGCTTGTGGTGTCCTACAAATTGCATACGTCCAGCAATTCTTTACTCAACTGTGATTGGTGGACTAATATATAAATACACCATATAACAGCCAATAGGAGACCAGAACAGTCAGTCAGCACAACACCCCAACTTATGTTTTCCTGTTGGATATATATTCTCCTTCACATTGTTCATGATGCGATAATACTGGAAATGCGATGGGCAGTGTATTTATTCATATCTCCCATAATTCTAAATGTGGAAAAACAACTGCCCCCAAGCTCACTACAATGGCAGTGACCCCTAGGACCCTCCCATTTGCCTTACCATGTGCAACGCCCCCAGGGGCTCACCCAGGGGTGTCGGCGCTGGTACGGGCCCTGCAAGGTCCTTGCCAAGGGCGGCGGTTCTTCCAGTGGCCCTTCCAGGGATGATGGCGTCTCTAGGGGCCCTCCCAATGGTGGTGGTGCCCGAGGGGCCTTCCCAGGGGACAACAGCGCTCCCAAGGGACCTCCCAGCGGCAAAGGCAAACCAGGTGGCCCTGCCAGGAACGGCGGAGTCCCCAAGGGAACTGAACAAGGGCTCTCGCTCCCCCATTGGCTCTTACAGATTCGGTGGCGCCTCCAGCGGCCCTCCCAGGCGCAGCGAGCCCCCAGGGGAGCTCCCAGGTGTGGTGGCATACCCAGGGTTTCTTCCAAGGGTGACGGCGCCCACTGGGGCCCTCCCAGCGGCAGAAGCGACTCCAGGAGACCTCTCAGGGGTGGTGGTGCCCCCACGGGGGTATCAATGGGCAACGATGCCCCCAGGGGCTCTAGATAGGGGCAGCGGTGCTCCCAGGGGCTCAGTTTAGGGGCAGCGGTGCCCCCAGGGGATCAACTAGAGGTGCCCCCTAATAGGAACCCTATAGCTTTTGGTTGTGGTCTCGTACGTATTGCATACGTCCATCAATCCCTTACTCAACTGTGATTGGTGGACTAATATATAAATACGCCAAATAACAGCCAATAGGAGACCAGAACAGTCAGTCAGCACAACACCCCAACTTATGTTTTCCTGTTGGATATTTATTCTCCTTTACATTGTTCATGATGGGATGATACTGGAAATGCGGTGGGCAGTGTATTTATTCATATCTCCCGTAGTTGTAAATGTGAAAAAACAACTGCCCCCAAGCTCACTACAATGGCAGTGACCCCTGGGACGCTCCCATTTGCCTTACCATGTGCAATGCCCCCAGGGGCTCACCCAGGGGTTTCGGCGCTGGTAGGGGCCCTGCAAGGTTCTTGCCAAGGGCGTCAATTCCCTCAGTGGCCCTTACAAGTGATGGTGGCGTCTCTAGGGGCCCTCTCAATGGCGGTGGTGCCCGAGGGGCCCTTCCAGGGGACAACAGCACTCCCAAGGGATTTCCCAGCGGCAAGGGCAAACCAGGTGGTCCTGCCAGGGACGGCGGAGTCCCCAAGGGAACTGACAAGGGCTCTCGCTCCCCCATTGGCTCTTACAGATTCGGTGGCCCCTCCAGCTGCCCTCCCAGGCGCAGCTAGCCCCCAAGGGAGCTCCCAGTTGTGGTGGCATACCCAGGGGCTCTCACAGGAGTGACGGCGCCCGCAGGGGCCCTCACAGCGGCAGTGGCGACCCCAGGGGACCTCTCAGGGGTGGTGGTGCCCCCAGGGGTATATCAAGGGGCAACGACGCCCCCAGGGGCTATTCATACGGACAGCGGGGCCCCCAGGGGCTCTCCTTAGGGGCAGCGATGCCCCCAGGTGCTCTACTAGAGGCGCCCCCTCCTAGGAACCCTATAGCTTTTGCTTGTGTTGTCCTACATATTGTATACGTCCAGCAATCATTTACTCAACTGTGATTGGTGGACTAATATATAAATACACCATATAACAACCAATAGTAGACCAGAACAGTCAGTCAGCACAACACCCCAACTTATGTTTTCCTGTTGGATATTTATTCTCCTTTACATTGTTCATGATGGGATGATACTGGAAATGCGGTGGGCAGTGTATTTATTCATATCTCCCGTAGTTGTAAATGTGAAAAAACAACTGCCCCCAAGCTCACTACAATGGCAGTGACCCCTGGGACGCTCCCATTTGCCTTACCATGTGCAACGCCCCCAGGGGCTCACCCAGCGGTATCGGCGCTGGTAGGGGCACCTGCAAAGTCCTTGCCAAGGGCATCGGTTCCCTCAGTGGCCCTTACAGGTGGTGGTGCGTCTCTAAGGGCCCTCTCAATGGCGGTGGTGCCCGAGTGGCCCTTCCAGGGGACAGCAGCACTCCCAAGGTACCTCCCAGCGGCAAGGGCAAACCAGGTGGCCCTGCCAGGGACGGCGGAGTCCCCAAGGGAACTGACAAGGGCTCTCGCTCCCCCATTGGCTCTTACAGATTCGGTTGCGCCTCCAGCGGCCCTCCCAGGCGCAGCGAGCCCCCAGGGGAGCTCCCAGGTGTGGTGGCATACCCAGGGTTTCTTCCAAGGGTGACGGCGCCCACTGGGGCCCTCCCAGCGGCAGAAGCGACTCCAGGAGACCTCTCAGGGGTGGTGGTGCCCCCAGGGGGCTATCAATGGGCAACGATGCCCCCAGGGGCTCTAGATACGGGCAGCGGTGCTCCCAGGGGCTCAGTTTAGGGGCAGCGGTGCCCCCAGGGGATCAACTAGAGGCGCCCCCTAATAGGAACCCTATAGCTTTTGCTTGTGTTGTCCTACATATTGTATACGTCCAGCAATCATTTACTCAACTGTGATTGGTGGACTAATATATAAATACACCATATAACAACCAATAGTAGACCAGAACAGTCAGTCAGCACAACACCCTAACTTATGTTTTCCTGTTGGATATTTATTCTCCTTTACATTGTTCATGATGGGATGATACTGGAAATGCGATGGGCAGTGAGTGTATTTGTTCATATTTCCTATAGTTCTGAATGCCGAAAAATAACTGCCCCCAAGCTCACCACAATGGCAGTGCCCCCTGGTACCCTCCCACTTGCCTTACCAGCTGCGACACCCCTAGAGGCTCACCGTGGGGTGTCGGGACTGGTAGGGGCCCTGCAAGGTCCTTGCCAAGGGCGGCGGTTCTTCCAGTGGCCCTTCCAGGGGTGATGGCGCCTCAAGGAGACCTCCCAATGGCGGTGGTACCCGAGGGGCCCTCCCAAGAGGCAGCAGCGCTCCCAAGGAACCTCCCAGCGGCAAGGGCGACCCAGGTGGCCCTGCCAGGGACGGCGGAGTCCCTAAAGGACCTGACAGGGGTTCTGGCGCCCCCAATGGCTCTTACAGATTCGGTGGCGCCTCCAGCTGCCCTCCCAGGCGCAGCGAGCCCCCAGGGGAGCTCCCAGTTGTGGTGGCATACCCAGGGGCTCTCCCAGGGGTGACGGCGCCCACAGAGGCCCTCCCAGCGGCAGTGGCGACCCCAGGGGACCTCTCAGGGGTGGTGATGCCCCCAGGGGCGTATAAGGGGCAACGACGCCCCCAGGGGCTCTAGATACAGGCAGCGGCGCTCCTAGGGACTCTCCTTAGGGGCAGCAGTGCCCCCAGGGACTCAAGATGCGGGTAGCGGTGCTGCCAGGGGCTCTCCTTAGGGGCAGCGGTGGCCCCAGGGGCTCTACTAGAGGCGCCCCCTCCTAGGAACCCTATAGCTTTTGCTTGTGGTGTCCTACAAATTGCATACGTCCAGCAATTCTTTACTCAACTGTGATTGGTGGACTAATATATAAATACACCATATAACAGCCAATAGGAGACCAGAACAGTCAGTCAGCACAACACCCCAAGTTATGTTTTCCTGTTGGATATTTATTCTCCTTTACATTGTTCATGATGGGATGATACTGGAAATGCGATGGGCAGTGTATTTATTCATATCTCCCATAGTTGTAAATGTGAAAAAACAACTGCCCCCAAGCTCACTACAATGGCAGTGACCTCTGGGACGCTCCCATTTGCCTTACCATGTGCAACGCCCCCAGGGTCTCACCCAGCGGTATCGGCGCTGGTAGGGGCACCTGCAAAGTCCTTGCCAAGGGCATCGGTTCCCTCAGTGGCCCTTACAGGTGGTGGTGGCGTCTCTAGGGGCCCTCTCAATGGCGGTGGTGCCCGAGGGGCCCTTCCAGGGGACAGCAGCACTCCCAAGGTACCTCCCAGCGGCAAGGGCAAACCAGGTGGCCCTGCCAGGGACGGCGGAGACCCCAAGGGAACTGACAAGGGCTCTCGCTCCCCCATTGGCTCTTACAGATTCGGTGGTGCCTCCAGCGGCCCTCCCAGGCGCAGCGAGCCCCCAGGGGAGCTCCCAAGTGTGGTGGCATACCCAGGGGCTCTTCCAGGGGTGACGGCGCCCACTGGGGCCCTCCCAGCGGTAGTAGCGACTCCAGGTGACGTATCAAGGGTGGTGGTGCCCCCAGGGGCATATCAATGGGCAACGATGCCCCCAGGGGCTCTAGATTCGGGTAGCGGTGCTCCCAGGGGCTCTCCTTAGGGGCAGCGGTGCCCCCACAGGCTCTACTAGAGGCGCCCCCTAATAGGAACCCTATAGCTTTTGCTTGTGGTGTCGTACATATTGCATATGTCCATCAATCCCTTACTCAACTGTGATTGGTAGACTAATATATATACTCCAAATAACAGCCAATAGGAGACCAGAACAGTCAGTCAGCACAACACCCAAACTTATGTTTTCCTGTTGGACATTTATTCTCCTTTACATTGTTCATGATGGAATGATACTTGGAAATGCGATGGGCAGTGTATTTATTCATATCTCCCATAGTTCTGAATGTGGAAAAATAACTGCCCACAAGCTCACTACAATGGCAGTGACCCCTGGGACCCTCCCATTTGCCTTACCAGCTGCGACGCCCCTAGGGGCTCACCCAGGGGTGTCGGCGCTGCTACGGGCCCTACAAGGTCCTTGCCAAGGGCGTCGGTTTTTCCAGTGGTCCTTCCAGGGGTGGTGGCGCCTCTAGGAGCCCTCCCAATGGCGGTGGTGCCCGAGGGGCCCTCCCAGGGGACAGCAGCGCTCGCAAGGGAACTCCCAGCGGCAAGGGCGACCTAGGTGGCCCTGCCAGGGTTTGTCGGAGTCCCCAAGGGACCTGACAGGGGCTCTGGCGATCCCAATGGCTCTTACAGATTCGGTGGAGCCTCCTGCTGCCCTCCCAGGCGCAGCGAGCCCCCAGGGGAGCTCCCAGTTTTGGTGGCATACCCAGGGGCTCTCCCAGGTGTGACGGCGCCCACAAGGGCCCTCCCAGCGGCAGTGACGACCCGAGGGGACCTCTTAGGGGTGGTTGTGCCCCCAGGGGCATATCAAGGGGCAACGACGCCCGTAGAGATTTTTCATATGGACAGGGGCGCCCCCAGGGGCTCTACTAGAGGCGCCCCCTCCTAGGAACCCTATAGCTTTTTGTTGTGGTGTCGTACATATTGCATACGTCCAGCAATCCCTTACTCAACCGTGATTGGTGGACCAAAATATAAATGCACCAAATAACAGCCAATAGGAGAACAGAACAGTCAGTCAGCACAACACCCCAACTTATGTTTTCCTGTTGGATATTTATTCTCCTTCACATTGTTCATGATGCGATGATACTGGAAATGCGATGGGCAGTGTATTTATTCATATCTCCCATAGTTGTAAATGTGAAAAAACAACTGCCCCCTGGCTCCCTACAATGAAAGGTCGCCCTGAACCCTCCTATTTGCCTTACCAGGCGCAACGCCCCCAGGGCTCACCCAGGGGTGTTGCCAGGGGCCCCACAAGGTCCCTACCAAGGGCAGCGGTTCCACCAGTGGCCCTTCCAGAGGTCGTGGCGCCGCTAAGGACCCTCCAAATAGTGCTGGTGGCAAGGGGCCCTCCCAGGGGGCAGCGGCGCTTCCAGGGAGCAGCGGCGCTCCGAGAGACCCTCCCAGGGGCTCTGATAGAGGCTGTGGCGCCCCCAATGGCCCTTACAGAGGCGGTAATGCCTCCAGCTGCCCTCGCAGGTGCAGCGGCAGCCCTGGAGGAACTCCCAGGGGTAATGGCACACCCAGTGGCTATCACAGAAGCGGCGACGCGCACAGGGTGCCTTCAAACGGCAGTGGCGTCCCCAGGGGCCAGCCAAAGGGCAACGACGCACCCAGAGCTCTTCATACATGCAGCGGTGCCCCCAAGGGGCTCTCCTTAGGGGCAGCAGTGCCCCCAGGGGCCCTACTAGAGGCGCCCCCTCCTAGGAGCCTTATAACTTTTGGTTGTGGTGTCGTACGGCAGCTCCTGGAGGAACTCCCAGGGGTAATGGCACACCCAGTGGCTATCACAGAAGCGGCGACGCGCACAGGGTGCCTTCAAACGGCAGTGGCGTCCCCAGGGGCCAGCCAAAGGGCAACGACGCACCCAGAGCTCTTCATACATGCAGCGGTGCCCCCAAGGGGCTCTCCTTAGGGGCAGCAGTGCCCCCAGGGGCCCTACTAGAGGCGCCCCCTCCTAGGAGCCTTATAACTTTTAGTTGTGGTGTCGTACATATTGCATACGTCCAGCAATCCCTTACTCAACTGTGATTGGTGGACTAAAATGTAAATATACCAAATAACATCCAATAGGAGAACAGAACAGTCAGTCAGCACAACACCCCAACTTATGTTTTCCTGTTGGATATTTATTCTCCTTTACATCGTTGATGAGGAGATGATACTGGACATGTGATGGGCAGCGTATTTGTTCATATCGCCCATAGTTTCATAGTTGTTTTTCCACATCCAGAACTCTGGGAGATACGAAAAATTTCACTGCCCATCACATGTCCAGTATCATCGCATCATGAACAATGTAAAGGAGATATATAATGATCCTATTGGCTGTCATTTGGTATATTTACATTTTAGTCCACCAATCACAGTTGAGTTAGGGATTGCTGGACGTATGCAATATGTACGACGCCACAACCAAAACCTATAGGGCTCCTAGGAGAGGGCACCTCTAGTAGGGCCCCTGGGGGCATCGCAGCCCCTAAGTAGAGTCCCTGGGGGCGCTGCTGCCCGTATGAAGAGACCCTGGTGGCTTCTTTGCCCCTTGACAAGCCCCTCGGGGCGCCACCACCCCTGATAGGTCCCCTGGCGTCACGACTGCTGCTGGGAGGGCCTCTGTGAGCGCCGTCGCCCGTGGGACAGCTCCTGGGAATGTCACCACAACTGGGAGATCCCCTGGGTGTGCTACACCTGGGATTGACGAGGGGGGCGCCACCGCCTCTGTAAGAGCCATTGGGGGAACCGACGTCCTTGACAGGGACCTTGTATGGCCCCTGGCAGCGCCAACACCCTGGGTGAGTCTCTGGGGGCGTAGCAACTGGTAAGGCAAATGGGAGGGTCCCAGAGGGCACCGCCATTGTAGTGAGCCTGGGGGCATTTGTTTTTCCACATTTAGAACTATGGGAGATATGAATAAATACACTGCCCATCGCATTTCCAGTATCATCCCATCATGAACAATGTGAAGGAGAATAAATATCCAACAGGGAAACATAAGTTGGGGTGTTGTGCTGACTGACTGTTCTGGTCTCCTATTGGCTGTTATTTGGTATATTTACATTTTGGTCCACCAATCACAGTTGAGTAAGGGATTGCTGGACGTATGCAATATGTACGACGCCACATCCAAAACCTATAGGGCTCCTAGGAGAGGGCACCTCTAGTAGGGCCCCTGGGGGCATCGCAGCCCCTAAGTAGAGTCCCTGGGGGCGCTGCTGCCCGTATGAAGAGACCCTGGTGGCTTCTTTGCCCCTTGACAAGCCCCTCGGGGCGCCACCACCCCTGATAGGTCCCCTGGCGTCACGACTGCTGCTGGGAGGGCCTCTGTGAGCGCCGTCGCCCGTGGGACAGCTCCTGGGAATGTCACCACAACTGGGAGATCCCCTGGGTGTGCTACACCTGGGATTGACGAGGGGGGCGCCACCGCCTCTGTAAGAGCCATTGGGGGAACCGACGTCCTTGACAGGGACCTTGTATGGCCCCTGGCAGCGCCAACACCCTGGGTGAGTCTCTGGGGGCGTAGCAACTGGTAAGGCAAATGGGAGGGTCCCAGAGGGCACCGCCATTGTAGTGAGCCTGGGGGCATTTGTTTTTCCACATTTAGAACTATGGGAGATATGAATAAATACACTGCCCATCGCATTTCCAGTATCATCCCATCATGAACAATGTGAAGGAGAATAAATATCCAACAGGGAAACATAAGTTGGGGTGTTGTGCTGACTGACTGTTCTGGTCTCCTATTGGCTGTTATTTGGTATATTTACATTTTGGTCCACCAATCACAGTTGAGTAAGGGATTGCTGGACGTATGCAATATGTACGACGCCACATCCAAAACCTATAGGGCTCCTAGGAGAGGGCACCTCTAGTAGGGCCCCTGGGGGCATCGCAGCCCCTAAGTAGAGTCCCTGGGGGCGCTGCTGCCCGTATGAAGAGACCCTGGTGGCTTCTTTGCCCCTTGACAAGCCCCTCGGGGCGCCACCACCCCTGATAGGTCCCCTGGCGTCACGACTGCTGCTGGGAGGGCCTCTGTGAGCGCCGTCGCCCGTGGGACAGCTCCTGGGAATGTCACCACAACTGGGAGATCCCCTGGGTGTGCTCCTGGGATTGACGAGAGGGTGGCTCTTGCCTCCTGGGGGCATCGCAGCCCCTAAGTAGAGTCCCTGGGGGCGCTGCTGCCCGTATGAAGAGACCCTGGTGGCTTCTTTGCCCCTTGACAAGCCCCTCGGGGCGCCACCACCCCTGATAGGTCCCCTGGCGTCACGACTGCTGCTGGGAGGGCCTCTGTGAGCGCCGTCGCCCGTGGGACAGCTCCTGGGAATGTCACCACAACTGGGAGATCCCCTGGGTGTGCTACACCTGGGATTGACGAGGGGGGCGCCACCGCCTCTGTAAGAGCCATTGGGGGAACCGACGTCCTTGACAGGGACCTTGTATGGCCCCTGGCAGCGCCAACACCCTGGGTGAGTCTCTGGGGGCGTAGCAACTGGTAAGGCAAATGGGAGGGTCCCAGAGGGCACCGCCATTGTAGTGAGCCTGGGGGCATTTGTTTTTCCACATTTAGAACTATGGGAGATATGAATAAATACACTGCCCATCGCATTTCCAGTATCATCCCATCATGAACAATGTGAAGGAGAATAAATATCCAACAGGGAAACATAAGTTGGGGTGTTGTGCTGACTGACTGTTCTGGTCTCCTATTGGCTGTTATTTGGTATATTTACATTTTGGTCCACCAATCACAGTTGAGTAAGGGATTGCTGGACGTATGCAATATGTACGACGCCACAACCAAAACCTATAGGGCTCCTAGGAGAGGGCACCTCTAGTAGGGCCCCTGGGGGCATCGCAGCCCCTAAGTAGAGTCCCTGGGGGCGCTGCTGCCCGTATGAAGAGACCCTGGTGGCTTCTTTGCCCCTTGACAAGCCCCTCGGGGCGCCACCACCCCTGATAGGTCCCCTGGCGTCACGACTGCTGCTGGGAGGGCCTCTGTGAGCGCCGTCGCCCGTGGGACAGCTCCTGGGAATGTCACCACAACTGGGAGATCCCCTGGGTGTGCTACACCTGGGATTGACGAGGGGGGCGCCACCGCCTCTGTAAGAGCCATTGGGGGAACCGACGTCCTTGACAGGGACCTTGTATGGCCCCTGGCAGCGCCAACACCCTGGGTGAGTCTCTGGGGGCTTAGCAACTGGTAAGGCAAATGGGAGGGTCCCAGGGGGCACCGCCATTGTAGTGAGCCTGGGGGCAGTTGTTTTTCCACATTTAGAACTATGGGAGATATGAATAAATACACTGCCCATCGCATTTTCAGTATCATCCCATCATGAACAATGTAAAGGAGAATAAATATCCAACAGGAAAACATAAGTTGGGGTGTTGTGCTGACTGACTGTTCTGGTCTCCTATTGGCTGTTATTTGTTGTATTTTTATTTTAGTCCACCAATCACAGTTGAGTAAGGAATTGCTGGACGTATGCAATATGTACGACGCCACAACCAAAACCTATAGGGCTCCTAGGAGAGGGCGCCATTAGTAGAGCCCCTGGGGGCACCGCTGCCCCTAAGGAGAGCCCCTGGGTGCGCCGCTGCCCGTATGAAGAGCCCCTGGGGGCTTCGTTGCCTCTCGATAGGCCGCTGGGGGCACCACCACCCTTGAGAGGTCACCTGGGAGAGCCACTGCCGCTGGGGGCACCACCACCCTTGAGAGGTCCCCTTGGAGAGCCACTGCCGCTGGGAGGGCCCCTGTGGACGCCGTCACCCCTGGGAGAGCCACTGGGTATGCCACTACAACTGGGAGCTCCCCTGAGGGTGCTTTGCGCCTGGGAGGGCCGCTGGAGGCGCCACCGAATCTGTCAGAGCCATTGGGGGCGCCAGAGCCCCTGTCAGGTCCCTTGGGGTCTCCGCCGTCCCTGGCAGGGCCACCTGGGACGACCTTGCCGCTGAGATGTTCCTTGGGAGCGCTGCTGTCCCCTAGGAGTGCCCCTCAGGCACCACCGGCAGTGGGATGGCTCCTAGAGACGCCACCACCCCTGGAAGGGCCGCTGGGGGAACTGCCGCCCTTGGGAGGTCTTTTCTAAGGCTCGTAGCAGCGCCGACACCCCTGGGTGAGGCCCTGGGGGCGTCGCACATGGTAAAGCAAATGGGATAGTCCCAGGGGGCACCGCCATTGTAGTGAGCCTGGGGGCAGTTGTTTTTCCACATTTAGAACTACGGGAGATATGAATAAATACACTGCCCATCGCATTTCCAGTATCATCCCATCATGAACAATGTAAAGGAGAATAAATATCCAACAGGGAAACATAAGTTGGGGTGTTGTGCTGACTGACTGTTCTGGTCTCCTATTGGCTGTTATATGGTGTATTTATATATTAGTCCACCAATCACAGTTGAGTAAAGAATTGCTGGACGTATGCAATTTGTAGGACACCACAAGCAAAAGCTATAGGGTTCCTAGGAGGGGGCGCCTCTAGTAGAGCCCCTGGGGGCACCGCTGCACCTAAGGAGAGCCCCTGGGGGCCCCGCTGTCCGTATGAATAGCCCCTGGGGGCGTCGTTGGCTCTTGATAAGCTCCTGGTTGCACCACCACCTTTGAGAGGTCTCCTGGGGTCGCCACTGCCGCTGGGAGGGCCCGGCTTCCCCAGGGACAGCAGCGCCCACACAAGCCCACCGATGGACGACGGCGCCCACAGGGGCGCTGCCAGGACCCCTAGCGCCACTAAGGGCCCTCCCAGGAGCCGTGTAAGGGGCGGTGGCGCCACCAGGGGCCTCTCAGGGGTGGTTGGTGCCCGCAGGGGCCTACATGGTACTGCGGCGCCCCCAAGGGCCCTTCCATGAACGGCGGTACTCCCACGTACCCTACCAGGGGTGCTTGCTTCACGAGGGGTTTATCCCAGAAACAGTGGCGCC